ACTTGCAAGAGTGCTGAAAGAAAAGTTCATGCCGACAGCAAAGTGAGTGAGGCATGCAACACGGAAAGCCGACGGGCGTAACGGAGCAAACGTAACGAGGAAGGGCATGAGTGGTAACGTGGAAACACCCGCCTGAAGCCAAAGCCGCCCCGGACCCTGGAAGCCTAACGATTTGCCCGCTTGTGCATCTTGGAGCTTCCACGACTTGTTCGTGCAGCATGTATCAAGTTCCCACACCATTTGACTTTTGTTGCAACAAGTATAGCCTCACACATCTCCATGCACACGCTAGACACAAAGGAGATGCACTCCTAAAGTAAATGGTGCTTTCATGTCCTCGAGAACCCGGCGGACCGCCAGCAATGAAGAGCTCTGGATGAGTTTGCGAGCCTCCGGCGGCTCCAACCGTTCCTAACTGCTGTCGTGCGTCCTTGTGCACTGCATGAAGGCCACGAGCAAAACAACCACAAGCTCCGTAAGCCTGACCAGGAACATTGCGTCGCTTCCGGCTGCGAATTTGGCCACAAGGGCTGTGAGAGAGACGGAGGGCAGGTTGGCCTTCATGATGGGAGGTGCAACCGCTTTGGATGCAGCATGATGCAGAACATGCAGCAAGATGCAGCAAGTGAATGCCAAGCCACTGCTCGACCCGCTCAATTTGCCCCTTCTGCTGCGACCTGGTGAACGTTTCTGGCGTTTGACTGAAGAATACTGAAGACACAGTCATTCTGACATGCGTCGGTTCCAAATCCTACAAACCGCTCACGCATATGCCCGAATATGAGCCCCTTGCAAAGGCCAAGTTGAAGGCACCGTCACCGAAAGTCCAGAAGGTGCCGGCGGTCCAGAAGGCCTCGAGAGAGCAACACCAAAAACAATTCACAGGCGGGCACGTTCCGGGCTCATTCCGGCTTATTCCGGCTTGCTCCGGCTCTGGCTGAGAGCACCATAGCGTCTGCGATGGGGCCTCGCGCATTCCAAACACCCTGCTCCCAATGAAGCATGCACAGCCCATCCCAAGATGTGCACCACATTGAAGTGCCGAAAAGTGTCGAATTTTAGCAGGAAATGCCACCGGGAGCTACATGTAGTCATGTGCAAGCCATGCACCCTGCATATTGTATGTGTAGAAGTCCGAGAAGAGTTGCCTTCGGCAACCTTTTCGCTTCCCGTCTGCATAGCTCTCAATTTGCCGTGGTGCAACACATTGCAACACAATCAACTACGATCAAGTCTGTGAACCGTAGTAACTGCCAAACCCACAGCTTGGAATGGGCAACGACTCATCTTTGCTCGCTCCCTCACACGCTCTCGCCGCTCTCGCTGCTCGCGTCTGTCATCGTTTGCGGTCACGATCGGGGGCTTTGTCCTTGAAGCCGCGCCAAGGCTTCTCCCTGGAAGTCGCCAGCCACAAGACGTGTCTTCTTGCACTGCTTCACTCAACCTGCAGGGTGCAGGGCACTTGCAGGGCACTTACTTACAGGGCACTGCCATGCACTACCAATGCCTCTGAATTGCATTTTGCATTCCGTTTGCTTACAACGGCTCGTGCCACCATCATTGCAATATTCCAGTGCATAGGCTGCTGGACTGAGGCGGCAACCCACTGGAACGCATGGATCCGCAAACCTCCTGCAAACCAGCTCCAGAAGCCACCGCCCGATCAAAGTGATCCTCGGCTTGTACGCCTTGAGAAAAACCATACCGACCATGGCCATTTCCATGTGAATGCCAGAAGCTTGGCCCTTTCTGATGCTCATTGTGAGCATGCGCGGGCGACTTCCCATTCCATCTCTCTCGCATTGTGGGCACTGCAGGAGGAGGATGCTGCCATTCTGGCCGCTGCTCTGCATCTGCGCACGTCGTGTTGTTCCAAACGCTTGCCCCATGCCGAGCCATGGCCGTGCCAAAGTGCACTGGAGCCACTTTAGAGGCTGATTTGAAGACCCACTGACCTCACATCATGCATTTACGTCTCTGTACAACTCGGGCTTGTCTGCATCTTGGTGGGAAAGACAGAAATCCTGCAAGAATATCAGGCTAGCTAATGCTAGCTATGATCGCTCGACATGTACAAAGACACACGCACTCTCGCTGTCTATTCTTTCCTTCCTTTCTTCCCTTCCCTTCCCTTCCCTTCCCTTCCCTTCCCTCCCCTCCCCTCCCCTCCCCTCCCCTCCTCTGCCCTGCCCTTCCCCTCCCCGGCCCTCCCCTCCCCTCCCCTCCCCTCCCCTTCCCTCCCTCCCTACCTTCCGTTGATTCCTTCCTTGCTTCCTTGCTTCCTCGCTTCCTCGCTTCCTGGCTTCCTTACCTCCTCGCTTCCTCGCTTCCTCGCTTCCTCGCTTCCTCGCTTCCTTGCTTCCTTGCTTCCTTGCTTCCTTTCTTTCCTTCTTGCACCTGAACATGAATGACCCCCCAAAGATTCTCTCACGCGGCCCCTGTGACAAGACTATGAAGTGGATGCAGCCTATAAGAAGTGTGGTTGCGATATGTTGAGAGATGGTCCTGATTCAGCAACGACTTGACACCACAGCTCGAAATGCTGCCATGTAATGCTGCATGCAAAGAAGAATGCTTCAATTACTGAGCTGAAGACATGAAGCTGGACAGTCTCGCCCGTCCTTTCCAATGCTCATCACTTCTCCGGCCCACCGTCTCGAGCGTAGCCTGGCAACCTGAAATTTGGGGCTCTCCCAGTTCATGGCCATACTATCTTCGCTCTCTGCACAAGATTTGAGCCACAAACCCTTGCGGCCACAGACCAGCGACTTCAAACCAATCATCATTTGGCATCGTGCCATGAAGGCCACAAAACACAAAATGGCCGGCTTGCCTGCGATCCACGCTGTGACCGTTGTGACGCATCGGTGCTGGAAGGAGGGAAGTGTGACGGCGTTTGCCTCATGTCATGGTATCTTGGAGGAAGTTCTCTTGACTGGAACCTTGTTTCGGGCGTCCACGTAGACATGGAAGCCCACGCGTCACGTTGGGATCCAAACCTTGCACAAAACTCCAGCGAAAAAGGCTCTGCGATATTCTGCGATCATGGCTGAACTTGGGAGCCAGCTGTTCCCAGCCAGGCACAGTTTCAGACTGAGAAAGCCTTGGCCCAGTTCCGCTGGTCTCTCAAACCTGGTGTCTCATGCCAGTAGCCTATGACCAACAAACACATCAGTAAATGCCGGGGTTACAACGGCAATTGTGAAGCAGCTTGTGTCGCTGACAACCTCAGCTGGCCATTCCTTTGTAGTTTTAGCCCCGTGCACGAGCATGTACAAAACAAAATTCTGGAACGAGCCAATGAATTGCAACTCATGGTCCTGTCTTGTGTTGGCTCACTTCCTGCGTTTACAAACTTACACAAGTGTCCAAAGGCCGGCGGCGGAGCATGGCGGAGCAGTCCAACAAGGCCGCAGAGATCCGTAGAGTCTAACACGTGCTGAGTTCACTGGTATCGAAAAAGCTAGTAACACTGAGAGCCGCTTCCGATGGGATGCTGCACCCTGAAAAACATCATCATGCCGGATCTGCCACGGCGCAATGTCACCAAGCCCAACTGTGCCCCAACAAATTGACAGCCACAACACGGTGACAACACGGTGACACCACGGTGACAACACGGTGACAACACAGTGACAACACGGTGAACATTTGGTTGGTGGCAATGGCAAGCTCACCGCTCGCAACATGCATCGCGTGCGGAATTTCACTTCCGCGTCCCATCCAGGGTTCATGTCGTGTCTGGAGGCAGGGACAGAGAGAGACAGAGAGTGACAGAGGGAGAGAGAGAGAGAGAAAGAGAGAGAAAGAGAGAGACAAAGAGAGACGAAGAGAGACAAAGAGTGACAGAATGCAAGAAACAAAGAAAGCAATAAAGAAAGAAAGCAAGAAAGAAAGAACGAAAGAAAGAAAGAAGTAAATAAGGAAAGCAAGCGAGCGTAAAAACGAGAGCATAAGCAAGAGAGCAAAGAAAGAGAGCATAAGAAAGAGCCCCAACTCACTCTGGCCCTCTGCCTGCCCCAACTTGTAAAAATGCTCGCCCCGAAACCTAAATGATTCTCTAAATTCTCTATGACTAAAGGCCATCATGTCTCTGAAGCCGGGATACGGCAGTGGTACACACGTTGACAGTAACTGCTAACCTGACAGCTTCAGGCTCCTGCTGCGAATGTTGCGATGCCACCTCTGTCTGCGCTGGCGCTGCACCTGTAATACCGCAAGCTTCACCAGATGCACAACGGTGGTCGGACCATGTCATGACAGAACAAACCATTGCTACGTCTGCACCGCGTCCGCGGACTGCTCGCGGGACAGACTGCACACTCTTCAGAGGCTTTGTTGTCACCTGAGCATTCAAACAAAGTTGCTTGATGGCTCCGACCCACGTACCCGGTCAGGCTATGTCAGGCTTTGAAGTCTGCAGATTACCGAGCCACAGTCGCGCGTCGTTCCGTGTGCAGCTGGGCTGCTCGGCCTGCACAAGCTGCGCTGCTCTACTGCTGACCCCAAGTTACCCAAGTTGCCGAGTCAGCAGGCTAGCAGCAGCTACAGGCACGCTTCCAATCACCATCAAGCCGGGGCGCGAAGGGCACGCAATGCTTGAGCTGCTGCCCCCCCAGAAGACCTTCTGCAATCTCTTACTGCCACATTCTGCAACGGTTTCAGCGATCATGGAACATGCGACGATCACTCAGCCGCACGCTCAACGGGAGCCATCTTGCAGCTGCCGGTGGGTGCTATAGTCAACGATCGAAGTTGTATCTAGAAAGAGCACTGCAACTGCAACTGCCGTGGAGGAGGGGCAGGAATACAGGAGTAGAGCCCTACCCCGTTTCTTGATTACACGTTTCTTGATTGCCACAGGCCAAATTCTGGAGACAGAAACTCTAGACTCTGGAGTCGTGAACATTCTGCACCGCACCTTCAGGCTTTGTCATTTGAAAACGGCGATGCGGAGAACCCGCCATCATCAGTGCCGGTATGCGAATGCCAAGTCGAGCTCAAAGCATGAGAAGCTCTTTACTCCGCATGGTGAGTTCGTGCACATGCATTCCTGAATTTGTCTTTTGCCATTGGCCCTTCTCACAAGAACCTTAGGCACGTAGCATAGCATCGGTTTCAATTTCCGTGCAAAAACAAGTGCAGGTCCGGCCAAGACGGCCAAGACATGGGAAACTCAACGTCGCAACAACAACTCAGCTGTTGATGATCGGATGGCGTTTAAACTGATGCTGCCGAGTAGCTGATCACAGCGTTATAGCTGATTTCATCCGGCTGGATGTGGCACGTACACATCGTCTTCCAGAGCTCCAGAGTGCGATACCAAAGCGCTGCTTTCTCAGTCGCAGACAAGGCCGCATTGCAGCTTGCAATATCTGTCTCTGGTGTAAATGGTGTAAAGCAGGCACGATGCCTTGTCCAGCAAACCAAGGCCTGAACCCACCTGGAGCTCCCACAAGACATGGATTGCCGATGGCTTTCTTGAGTCAGCTCAATGCCTCTTTTACAAGCATACTCCAACAAAGCCCATGCATGAGACCATGCAGAGCTTCTTTCCAACACGGAGCAGCCAGAATTCAGTGAAATTACATCTTGTTGCAGCCGCCACCTTTCAATGCTAGTGAGGTACATCGCAAGCTGCCAGCAGGAAGCAACAGCGCAAGTAGCTGTAGCTGCACTGCGGTCGTTCTGATCTGCTAAACCCGATAACAAATCAAGCGAAAGCCTCCAAAGACCCATACTTTTGCAGCATTTCATTACAACGCTAGCGCAGTGTGCTGATGGTCGTAGCTGCAGCACTGGCAACTGCCGAAGAAGCTGGATCGCTTTCCTCCATGAGCTCTCAGAGAACTCCAATGGCTCCATGACACACAGCCACGTGACTGCGTCTGGCTGAATGCTAGCAGCATGTATCAAGCAAAGAGGCACCGCCCACTTTTCTGGTGAGCCTAGTGAGCGAAAAGCCGCCAGACATGTATTGAGAGTTACCGTGTCGGGAAAGATCAGCTGCTGCTGCACGCTGCGCAGAAACTCCAAAACTCGTGACCAGCCGCTGTTGCTGCTGTTGCTGCTGGTGCATATGTGCGCTATTGTAGCCATGGCGCAGTTGAAGCAGTTGATGTTGGGTCTCACGTTCCATGAACGCATTTTGCATAGGGTAAAGACACCTGTCGCAAGCGACCAGTGTTGATGGCTTTGCTTTTTCAGTGTAACGCACAACGAAACCTCATCAGGATGTAGTCGAGAATGGCGTGCCTGCTCCAGCCCTACTGCTGCGTATTCCCATTCAGAATGGCCGTAACTGCTTTGAACTATGTTGAATGGCAATAAACCAGTTTCACAAGGGGACTCTGGCTTTGCCATCCAACTAACCGCACGCAATGTCAGCCGCCACTGGCTGCAATCGCTGCAAGCGCTCATGAAATGAGCACAGCTGACGGAGTCAATCTGCATGTTGGTCTCGGACATCCGAGCCAGGTTTAGCAAACTCAGGGTCCACAAAGAGAATCTCTTATGTGATTTCATAACCTCGCAGCAAGCGATTCTGTCCATCTGCAACCCATTGAGGTCCAAGAGCAAGAGCATGTCCAAACCAAATGCCCACCGCTCGCTCGCAAGCCCCATCATTGTAGTGACTGAAACGATGTCTGGCTTCGAGTTCTGCTGAGATATCCTTTCAAAGGCTGCTGTGCTCTGCTGCCACTCTTGGCTTACGACAGACGCACTGAGAACGGCGTTGCGGTGTGTGACATCTGGTTCAACCCAGACGAGCACCATTGTCCGAAGCACACTTATTGCTGCCTGCCAATGCAGCTTGCATTTGGCCAAAACCCCTCGCCAACGAATAGTTGCTGGATTTGCTGGCTGCATGCCACTGAACTTCAAGCTTTCCAGCACAATTTCCGCTGCGGCTTTTGACTTGAAAGACACTGGAGATAAGTTCCGCGGTGCTTGCAGGCCTTGCACGGAAAGACTGGACATCGCTGCAAGCTGCAGGACCCTGTCAGTTACTCCAACATATGCTAGCCATCGTTCATCATTTCAGCTGCGGTTCGCTACACTGCAATCTACTCGCGGCAGCCAGCATCGTGCGAGCACAACAATATGCAACAATCTGGCCCATGTCGTATCAGAATTATTGATTCCTGGGGCAACATCAGAGCAGATGGTGCATCAACAACATACGTATCGTGACGACCATAAACTGAGTCATCGATACCACCGTAATCGCTGGACATTCAGACGCTCAACGAGCATTTCGCAGGAAACGTTCTCGGTCCATAATTGCGCGCATGTGGTACGCAACTTTTACGCTGTAGTGCGTTGAGATTTAGATGATTTAGGGCTAAGGAGAGCGGAAGGAACTCGGGCTCATGCCTGGAGAGCTTCGGGCTTGCAGTCGGGAGTATTTCAGTGGTTTTACAACCCTCAACCGTAGAATCTTTGAATATCTTTGATATTGGGGCTAAGGAGACAGGTCGAAGGAACTTGGGCTTTCGGTACGGCTTGGAAAGAATGGGAAAACTTCGGCTGGCATTGGGGCCCTGAGCATTTGAGGCCAGAAAAGGGAACCAACCCCCCACCCCCCACCCATCCCCAAGAAGCCAACCAAAAAACCTGAAAACAAGCATAGCACGTGCTTCAATTGCCAGCCAGTAAACCAGGCTCAACCAGAAAGCCGATCGCACTTTTGGCCACTGGCCAGCTCATGACCTGATCCCTGATGCGCGCGCATCAATCCGTCGTTTGGCCTCCTGCACCAGACCTCGGCTCCAAAGGACTGCAGCCATTCGCTAGTACAAGTTCTGAAGGAGCGGGTGCAGTTTGCACATGTCTGCACGCCTTTTGTTTGCCCAGCTGAGCCATCAACTTCTACAAGTTTAAACATGATGCATGAGAGCCTACTGTAGCTGCCAATCTACAGTTGGGACTACGAAGGTGTGGACTAAGCAGGCAACTGGCACCGTTTGCCAGCACCACGCCAGTGCCAGTGTAACTGGCGAAAAGTTGCAATTCTGCCGAAGGGAAACAATTCAAAACAAGTATAGTATTCGACATGCAGCCCCAGCGTCCAGGCAAAACTATTCAATGATCCAAGAAACTGCAAGGCTGCACCAAAAACAGGTATAGCTCATGCAGAAGATTCGTGCTCGGCAAGAAAGGGACTGCTCCCATGTCTCCTTTCCCCCTTCTCGCAAGCACTAATAACGGCGTTCATCATGATCTGATTCAGGAGAGCGCGATAAGATGGCGCGCACAACCTGACGTCAGTTCTGCCCCACGCCAGGCGCTCTGACAACTTCGACAGCTTACACGATGAGTAGTACACTCTTCTCCGAACAAACTTGTCAGTCCGAGCGTTTCTTGAACATGCCCGTCCTGCTTCCTGAGCTCTGCTATGCTTCGTGCCCATTCCGTGGCCATGCCCCCAAGTTGCAGGCCATCAAGTACGGCCCCTTCTCATCTGGCAAGTGACTGTTTGCATCGTTCTCGTGTCTATCTGCGTGCGTTGCGAGGCATTTTTCAAACGACGATGCCCTCAAAGCCTGGGATTGGTGCACGCTGCTTCTCGTCATCTCTCCAGCTTGCTGATTCCTGTGTTTATTGTGTTGCTGACACTTGACTTCAGGCCGAGCCGACTGCGCTGTCTACGCTTGGTCGTGGTGGTACCGCGAGTGGTGGCACGTGTCGTGTGGGTCCCCCCATGTGTGCTTGGCCATCAGGTGAAATGCTTCAGCGTCTTGAGCGACGCTCATACGCCCATGCTGGAGTGCTGCATGGAACGAAAGAGAGGAAGGGCCGCAGATAGGTATCAGCCCAACAATGAACCAAAGCAGGGCTGTAGGGTTCCACACGTGTGCCTTCGGTGGCTGTCTAGCTGCGGGAAGCTGCTTCGGGCGCTTGCAAGGTGCAGCAGCATCCCAACCCGTGGCATGAGTGCCACGTCCGGCACCCATGCTGACCAACTTGCACAAAGAGCAAACAGCAGCTCAAGCTCGCTGACGTGTTTAATCATCAAGAGCTCACTGGACAAAGTGGGCCCTAGCGAGGTGGCGTTGTCGCCCCTTTGTAAGCGCCCACGGTCGTGGTGCAACTGGCAAACACATTTTGTTCTTGAGTGGAAGGCTTTCTATTTTCCACCGGTTGACAGACAAGAACTAACTAGCACAGACCTGCTTCAGCTGCCGATGCTAGTTTCCACCCTGACACCCACCCCCCAATGCACCAACACCATCAGCACACAACTCCATCGTGCCAATGTGCTTGCGGGCAGATTGTGTTCCACTCAGGACCACGAAGTGAAGACAAGAGAACTGGAAGTGAAGCAGGCAAAAGGGAACCAAACAGCTCCTAGATTTGGACATGTCGACAAGGAGCAACAGTGCAAGAGCTTGCTGCCATTCACCAGCTTTCTCGCATGCGCTGACGACGGTGCTGAGTGTAATTTCATCGCAAAGTGCTTTGCTGCAAGCCACGCCCAATGCCACGCATGCCTGGCACCACTCTCCTGACAAAATGACAGCGGATGTGCAGCCTCCAAGCTCGCGAAAAGACATGTGCAGAACCCAAGTCAAGGGTATGCATCCCAACCATATGCTCCAAGGTCGCTGGCTCTTTGAAAGGCGCTGATTGCTGCATTAAGTCCTTGTGTGCGCAAGAAATGGTGAGTGAGTATCTGTCTGGCTGGCGGGCAGGGCAGACAGAGACAGACAGAGGTGACAGGGACTTGGATGCAGTTGAGGCACCGGTCAAATCGGCCTCAAGGTTGAAAGACTGCATACGCTTCATCATCTGGAATGCCCCTGCCCACTCGGCACCTGCACTTGGGTGGAGCTAAAGGTGCTCCTCACTCGACATGGATCATCTACAAACTAGGCCTTTTTCCAGGGCGCTGATTGCTGCATGATAGCTGATCCTGAGCTTGGGCATTGACTTCACCGGGCTTTACAACGCCGAAGCTGAAAGCACCAGTGTTGTGGAAAGGATCCGCTGAGATAAGCTGGTGATTTCTGCGTTGTTAAGCAGCAGGCACCCAACTCGCCACTCTCCAGCTTTCTCACAGGCACCTACACCGAGCACTCAGACAGATTCAGACAGTCAAAAGCATGCTGACAGAAGCTGACAGGCGAACGCGTGTGGCTAAGACGGCAAGGCACTGATGGCAGCGTTGTAGACTGTCGAATCAATGCTGTGGGAAGTATTGCTTCGCATAGCTTGCATCTGCAAGGCCTCCAGAAATGTAACCGCCAGTCGCCACTGACTGTCCCTGGAAAAAGTCGTCATGACTCCAGTTGTGCTGAAGACTGATGCAGATATCCAGCTTTCCTGAGCTGCGCTGAGAGGCACTCTGACAGAACAAGACCGGGTGCCTCTCAGCGTCACGATCACTGTGGTCACTGGTCACTGCTTCCGAAGCTTCAGACATGAGGTTCAGCAAATGACTTCCCAGAGCCCAGCGATCACAGCATGCTGCCGGACTCGGTCCAAAGATGCAAGCTTCTGTTCTAGTTGTACTGTTTTTCGTATAAGTCGCCCCGGGGAAGCTGGCTCAAGAAGGCTCAAGGACCATAGCAGCTGAGATGCGATGAAAGATGCGATTCGGCCACCGAACAAGCCGCCATGGCAGCATCGTAGATCAAGACATCTACTTGCAGAGCTGCGCTTGCCGTTCCTTGTCAAGCAATTGCATCTGCTGATGCAGGCGGTTCTTCCCGCAAGTGCTGGCATCATCACACTTGTCAATGAGCTTTCCAGAAGACATACCAACTTAACCAGGACGAGACTCCATGCAGAAGCAAGCTGGCTGGTTGCCATGCGCTGTGCTTCCCACAAGCACTCACGGCAGCGCTTACGCTTGCCAGATCTGCTGCCTGAGCGCAGTTCGGAGAAGGCTGAGAACGGACGATGCATGATCCTACCATGTTCATGGAAGCCCTTGCCAGTTGCTGCCAAACAACAGGCGCTGCACCTGAAATCGAGCAAAGCACTGTCATGGCTGCATCCTTCTGAGACTTCTGAGACTGGTATGTGGTGCCAGCCGGAGTGCGAAGGAGACGAAGGGCGATCAGCCACTCTTTGCCAATATCGCAGCAGTTCACAATTGCGCTGAGTTCAGTGGGGCTGCGATGGCGGCTCGAGCTCCTGGATGAGACCGGCCAGAAGCAACATCAAAAGCCACTCGGACCATTTTTTCAGGCGTCCTGCGCAAGCCCAAGGCCAGGTCCCACCTGGTGGAGTGCGCCACGCAGCCGAGCACCGCAGTCAGGCTGAAGTTGTCCTCGCCAAAGATTGCAAAAGTAAAGAAAATAAGAAAAGTGCTCTCTCTTTCTTTGACGTTGACCAACTTCTGCACAGAGAGCCGGTCCGCCGAGAGGGCCAGACGCTGCAAGCTGTCCCTCAGAAGGAGGCCGAGCTGCCACACCCGACCTGTCAGCACGAAAACATACGAAAACACGGCAAAAAATGTGCAGCAAAAGCAAAGCACCCGCATCGCAGGAGCCACTGAGGTTCGGTCCATTCCCACTTGCCGTTACTGCACTGTTCAAAGCAGCAACGTCGATCTGCATGCCCGCCGCGTCTGCACGGTGAAAGATGAAGAGCGCTTCCAGCCATGCTTGCGCCTGCGCAAGTGTGTCGTTGAACACTGCACCGCGCTGAGGATGCGTGCTTCATGAGTGTGAAGCTGCATATAGGTTGCACTTAGTGACTTTGGGCTCGCGGCCTTCCCACAGCAGCTGATGGCTGAGCTGCATGCGAGCTTAGTGGATGGAGCTCGCAATCTACAGGACAAGCCCAGCACTCCCACTGCCGCCCACCACTGGTACGCCGGCAGCACAGATACCGGAGATGGCGCATGAATGGCCAATCCCATTTGCCACTTGGAACACTCCGGCAGCGCTGCAGCCACAAAGGATTTCACATCGCGACTTTGCCCCAAGCCTCAGCTTGTCAGTGATTGACGTTGAGCCGGGAACAAGACTCGTTCGTGTTTACGCCATGCGAGGCAGGGGGGAGCGGTTCGGCTCCCACAAGGTCGTTTCCTAAATCCCGAATATCTGCTTGCAGTTGACAGAGCGGGTCAGAGTCCAACAACGGAAAAGGCATGTTGGCTGTTGCATCTGTCCCAGCTTGGCGCTGCACCGACAAAGTTTGGCCAGAGGCTCGAAGCTTTCAAAAAGGGTACCCAAGTTGTGGCGTTTGTCCCAGGTTGCGGTTGTACCGAAAGAAGATAGAAGTGCCAAACGCATCTTTTTGGAGGTCCGAAAATGCCTTCGGCTGGGTTTGCCGATCTGTTCAAGCTTCGGGCTTAGGGCTGCATGAAAAGAACAGTTTGGCTTGAGGCTGGAAGCTTCGCACGGCAACTCCATCTGGCTTAGTTTGTTCTCTGTCCCCACCGGCAAACGGTCCGGCTACAGGCTTCAATGGGGATGCGCCAAAATGACATCCGGCCTGAGGCAAGACAGTCGATAAACATGCAGCCGACTTATCGTCCGTCCCAGCTTTGGAAGCCTCGAAAAACACTGCCAAATGCGCTGGGGGAGAAGGGGCGGGAGGCAGGGAGGGGAGGGGTGGGGTTGAAGAAGCGGCAAGAATCATTCAAACACAGTGATGGTAAACCTTGCCAAACGAAAGAACGATTGTCTCGAATTCCCAAGGCTCCGGGCTAGTCTACATCACGCTGTCACAGGCTTTCGGCCAGGCTTCAAAGCGCGACGCCGTGCTTCCAGCTGCGGCTCTCCACGCACACTTGCGCCGACGACTTCAGACTCCCGACATCAAATCCACTGGTCCCCGATTGCATATCTGCCTACATGCGACGCATGCAACTGCCTGTCAAAAACAAGCAAAGCACGCAGCACTCACGTCAGCTCTTCTCACTCTCGTCTCGCAAGCAAAGCACCAAGCTGGTTGCCCTGTCTTGCTCGACAAACTTGCATGCCAAAGGTCCAGCATTTGCAACGACCATGCCCACCGCATGCCGGGATCTCTACCAGAACGTAGTACGACGTTCAACGCTCCAACTCTCAGCGGCAATCTGGTATCCCTGCACAGACCTCAGTTGCAAAGATGCAAGCGTGAAAGAGTGGCGGCAGCAATTGCTCCTGGACATCACGAGACCATACATCAGACTCAGGATGATTCTTCGACAATGGCGCTCGCTGCTGCGGTTGCTTGTCTGGACATACGTAAGGCTGTTTGCACTACGTGAAAGCTCTATAGAGAGTCCATAGACAAAATGCTCTAGGCAGATGAAACATTCTGAGTACGGCCAGGAATCTCAGGATCGCGAGCTGCGGCTTCCACTGGGAAGCACGTTCGCAAGTGGCCAGAAGTGTGCTCGAGCTTATTTCATCAGGCTTGGACCCTTTGCCTTTGGACCGATTGGACTGCTTCGGGTACATCCTGCACATCTTGTGGAACAGCGAGCATGCCTGCAACCACGCCCCCGCGCGAGCATATGCGTCCAATGCAGCGTTGCACAGAACGGTGTCAATGCTGATGCCAGCGGCAGAGTCCAGGACTGCTGCGGCAATTTGCCAAATTCTGTTCTTCCTGAACAACCAAGGCCAGCATGGACTGTGTGTTCTTGTGTGTTGCCGCTCGGGAAACGAACTACAACTAGCCGCAAAGCGTCCCACAGGCATTGACGTAAGCGCTGGCCCCAACTTCGTCTGGACTGAGTCTCCATGCACCAAGCCGATTCCTTTCACACAACATCTCCGGACAGAAATACTGCACAACGCCTTACAGATGAAAATCTTACTCGGCCAGCTGCTAAACCACACCATGCTGAGCCATCCTGAGCCATCCTGACCGAGGCTCAGCAACCATGCTGCTGACTTCCATTTTCCCCCTCTTTCGAAGCACAAGATCATGCCGTTGAAGCCTATGGCCCGCGTCAGCAACAGCATGCTCTGCCACTCGGGGGATTCTAGCCCAGCTGCTTGCAAGATCTTTGCTGCAAAGTGCCCCGGGTGAAGTTAAAGTGTTCCTTGGTGTCGACGCGGGACGCGCTTGGACGAGGCAACAGTCAAAGACATTCGATTGTGGAAGGACTGCCATACCTTCGAGCTAGGCCAGCTAGACAGATCCCGCTCCCTATGGCAAATCCAAGTGGCAACGCAATTTGCCATCTTCCCCCGGCTGCCGAGGCAAGAGCAGCAGAATGGAGGCAAATTTGATTCGGCAGCGCTTTCCTTGCAAGTTCGACCGTCAGCAGCGGCATGTCAGCAAACTCCATTCCAGCCAAGATTCATCCTGCGCATTGCTTTCAGAACGCACTCTGATCTTTGCCAAGAATGCTTCCTCCTGAGTTCACTGCACAGCATTAAGGAGAGCACATTCGACATGAAAATTCACAACGGCGATCATTTGCGTCACCGAGTAGCTGGTGAGCACTCAACAGGATCCCAAAACCTTTGGCTTCAATTCAGCGAACCTACATGTCTCCAGAATGCCTGCATCTTGCCAGGCCACTGATAGCATCTGGCAAGATGCCCTCATCCTGCATGCTACCTCAACTGTCTCCACGCATGATCATCAAGCATTGCACGAAATTGTGAAAACATGTTGAGACGTTCATCGCCAAGCAACAGAAAAGGCCTGCTGCTCGCTGCCACCGCTGCACACGAGAACAGGTCTTCATTATTGCCTGAAGAACGAAAGCCCTTGTTCGGTAGCAATCACTTACAACCAAAAGCGCGCGTAGTCAAAAGTGACAGAAAGGACCATAAGGCAGGAGTTCACCAGGAGTCACAGGGAGTCACAGGGAGTCACAAGATGAGAACTCCAGAGAACGGCTGTAAGAAGCGGACACTGCACGTCACCAAAGAGTCCACCTTGAAGTCTTGGCATCGCATGTAAAGCCTCAAGGACGACAAAAGCAGAAGCAGAAAGTCACAAATTGTGATAGAAGCAAGCACTCGGAGCATAAGAAAAGTCAATGTAGCTGTGAGGGTGTGCACACTGCACGGGCCAAGGCTTGAAGGCAGTGATGCAGCCAGGCTTCAACAAACTTGTTGCTTTCTGCCAACGCTGCGCACGACTGTAGGCAGCAATCACATGCTTGAATCCACGCTCCGCACCATACCTGAGGGCACACACCGTGACAACTAGCAAAAACTCCGCGGGCAAGTGTGTCCAAACTCCTCTTGAGTACAAGGCACAGACTAGCCCGCCACGAAGCTCGGTAGCTAGGGCTCAACAAGACTTCCCACGACTTCGACTGTGGGTTTGCCTTCGGGTGGACCTTGTTGCTAATCATACGAAGATGTGTCACCAGATGCCATGACATGACTTGTCCGAGGTCCACACTGTTCCTTGAGTGGCCAAGGGCATTGCTTGTCCCAGAAAGCCGCGCACATGGCAGAGTCATCAGATGCGCAGGCTCTGAATAGAACTACCGTAACTACCGAAGGCCTACCCATGTCGGAGTTGCTTGGCACACTCCGAGCAATGCTCGAAGCACAAATGGCAACAAACGTGTCGGCCCAGATTGGTGCATCCAAAGCAGGCAGGTGAGCATCTGACGTGTTGCCTCCTTCGACCGTGTATTCGGTATACTTCCTGGTGGAGGACGGCACAGGAGCAAGAGCAAGACCCGTCGGATCAGACCCGACTACGTCCTGGAGCTTCCACGAACAAGTGCCGCAGGATACTTGGCAGCCTTAGGTTGCCATGAACACCACTCGGCCCCCTGCAAGTCAATGCCGGCAAGCATCGTTAACCGCCAGCTTGTCCAACGCCGCAGCGGGAAGATCGACATGACACTGACGAGAGCGGACTTCATTGTTTCCAGCCCTTGTTTCACTTGTTTCGTGAAGAACAAATTGCCACAAGCGAGCCTTGTGACTGAGCCGGATCAAGTACAGGAAAACGTCGGCAATTTCCTGCAAAACGACTTCTTGAACACCACCCCCACTCCAGGGCATGATTCGGCCTCGGGGTTTGTTCTTTGGTCAGGTTTTTAGAAATGGAGGACTCAGCTCCTCAGGAGATTCACAAGATATGGCCACCAGGTAAGCCAGTCTACGATCCCTCAAACCTGTTGTCTGCACCATTCAGTGATGGACCCTCTTCAAGCCGGAAGCCTCTTCAAGCCAGAAAGAAGCCGGGTCTTTATAGCGTGCCAGATACGACAAGCTGGGGCGTAGGAAGCCGACAAGCAGTGGACGACTCAGCAGCAGAGCAGCATTGCAGAGCCCGATGGTACTAGCAATACTAGAAGCAGTCAGGCGTAGTCACTGTCTCCGACGCCATTGCGAAACCCGTGGCAGGACATGCGGGCTTTGAAGCACATCGGAAATTTCGAGTTGAGCGCGGTTGAAGCTTTGAAGCAGGAAGAACACACATGAAACACGGACTCCTGCCGGACTGCAGTGCGGTGTTTCTCACTCCAGCCGGGAAGGCCTTCTGCGACCTTTGTTGCACTTCCCCACACACGCACCGGCCCTCGGGTAAGTCCTCAACAAAAGCCTGCCTCGCCCTTCCACTGGAAGCACTCGCACAACTCACCCACCTGCATTGCGGAGCTTGCAGGCTTTACAGGCTTACAGGAACTTGCATGACCGTCTGTTGGCATGCGGTTAACAGTACCATCTTGCAATGTCATCTTCAACCTCTTCACCCGGTCGCAAGACAGGTGCAGGAATTAAGTAGTATGGATGGGGCACTGCACGTCACTCCACACGACTGCATGCTGCTTGTTGGACCGACAGCAACAGAAGTTCACAACACAGCTTCTGGTCGCGTACACCTGTCGATGATTAACGCTCGGTGCTCATGGTCAAGAGAAACGGACATCCGAGCATCCACATGGCCTCCCCCACCAGAGCAAGCGCTAGATTTCTCGGTGAATGGAACTGATCCTGACGAAGCGTGCCGAACCATGACCATCGGCCACATCGTATTTCTGGGCTAATGAGATGCGAGCTCAAGAATGCGACAGCTTCAAGCTGCTCTGATGGAACAAGCTTTGCTTCTGAGTTGTGGTCCCAATCTCGCTCACGAGCAAAATCAGCCAGTTCCCGTCGGAGCTGCTCCAAAGAGATGTCTGTCAAATCCAGCAAGTGCAATGAGCACTTTTTCACAGGCTGCCGAACAACGTACTACAAGCATATTTGTGGCCAGACAACCTTCACTGAAGATGGTCCGCGCGGCTGCCTGACAACTTAACCAGAGTCTGCTGCCACTGAGCATTCGGCATGAAGCAACGTCCAGCGGGTCTGCTCGAGTGTCGAACGAGGTGCCTCCTTGCTTGCAGACCTGCAGCGGGGCTTCAACAGCAAATGTGTCACACGGCTGGTCACTATGTTTGGGCAGCGGCTCGGTGGAAGTCGTCGCCCCATCGGTTGCGGCGTTTGTGCTTCCACCTCGAGCACTGTTGCTAGACTGCGAATAGCACCCAAACGGTATATCTGAACTCCAGGACGCTTGTGCAGATCGAAATGTTTGAAAGTTCGGGCTGATGTTACTTGCATCTTGCGAACATTTCAACATACATCAACATATCGGAGTGGATGGCCAACATGTCATGTTGATGGCCTCGTATTCATGTCTTACAAGAACAAAACGGGTATCGCGACAATGACAGCCCCCGTAATCTGAAAACATCTCCGCGTCCAGACAAACGAGAAATTCCACGCAGACTGGCCAGCTTACAGCTGCAAGTTGTGCGGTATCGGAAGTGATGCGCATCCCCACATATCATGCTCACCTACTTCTCGCCCCTCAGGGCACCCCACGGCTCTCAACGCCAAGTCCCATGCCAATTCGCCGCCGCTTCAGTGCAGTTTCGGCATGACACATGCCTGCGGCTACAAGTAGTTCATCAAACCTTCCATCCTATGCTCTTCACTCACAGCGCCATGCAAACATCTCTAAGACAGCAGATTTACTCATTTCGTCTCAGCAACAGAAGCCTGCGTGGAAGATTCGCTCGACCACACCTCTTTCAATACCTGCGCGAGAGATCTGTCAAGGGCATAAGTGGGCACCAGCGCCGTATTCACGAACAAGGTATGCACAAAGCTACTCAAAACGCATTCAATATGGTGCCAAGTTGTTTGGAGAGTGCCGCCACGGCCTGCCATCGCCCGACATGCAATCCGACAACCCGTACTGGATCGGAACATAGCAGGCAATTAAAGGCCTCACGAGATGCGCCATCACCTCAGGTTCTCACATCTCCCATCTAATTAGGAGCCGTGCTATGCAACTTTACCCTCGGGAAGGCACGCGTTTCACCGTTGCACGTCGTCCCTTCTGACGCCATTTTGGCTGAATGACACCAGTCTTCGACAGACACAGGCCAAGATGATGCTTGAAAGTAGTCCAGTGGCTGTCAATAGCTGCAATCCATCTTCTAGCCAGTTCACGAAGCGTCGGAGGACTCTGGACTATGAATTGCTGGGCAGTGCGGGACCGTACGACGTACTGCTTTTGTAGGCCTGACTGGGGAGACAACTGTGAAGTGAAATTTGTTCCCACTTTACGAGTGGTTTGTGGAGCTCGGAACACTGAAGAATGTCGGAATCCCTTCAGAACTGTGCAGGTCTTCGATAATGCTCAACCGTGAACTGTAGCAGCAGCAATCAATGCCTGGCATGTCCACGTATGTCGATCCACCGAATACTAACAGCAGTTCTTAGCATGTTCACGGAGCTTTCTCGCATGCTTCTGGAAGTGGCAAAAGCCTGCACGCAGTGAACGCGGTGCATAATGTGAGCAATGCAAAGGCCAAGAATGAACTTCTGCAAGCGCAACTTTTCACCTCGGCGGCGTGTTCACGCTTCCGTATGCATCTGCGTTCTGGCATTTAAAGCTACCAGACTGCAGCAAGTCTCTGAGACTCACGAGTCCAGGAATCACCAGCTTAAACAGTTGACAGGGGCTCTGCTCCTGGCTCAAAGGCTGTACTGGCTGCAAAGAGATTCACAGAGTCCCACAGCAGCACCTGCAGAAGTCAAAGGCAGCCGCTCTGACAAAACTAAGTGCGCTGCCCAAACAGGCCTGAGCCAACCTAACTTGTAGATGTCAGAGCGTCCTCCCCATCAGATGTTGATGTTGCATCCCACATTTTCTAGCTGCAAGCTTCAATAACACTACGTCAAGACCGCCGGATCTGCAGTTTCCCATCAGATTTCAAGAAGCACCCCATCAAGCTGTGTCCAACCACCTACAAGCTCATCTGCAAGAAGCACGCTCTGTGCCTGTGTGCCAGTGCTAGCAAACCCTTTTCACCGACTGGCCGATGCATGCCAAAAAAGGGAAGCCTTTAGTGGATCATGCGGGATGGCTATCAAGAAACCCTTGTCTAGGCACCAGAAAGATCGAAAGAAAGACTGGAAGACTGGACTGGAGCGGAAACCCGATTGCCCACATTGCGAAATTGAAATTGAGCTGTCCTCCGTGGCCATGCTTGCATGCCTTTCTGGGGGTGCCTGGCGATGCCCGCAAGTTGTCGTTAGACAGGCTAGCACCGGTAGAAGTTCTGACGCACGCCATCGCCAAGCCCAACGGAGCGGATGAGCGCAGAGACATGAAGAAAACGCACTCAGCCAGCTGCCCAAGGCTGAAGAACTTCCGACAGGGAAGCCTTCGCAAACGCTTCGCAACGTTGGCACGCCAGTGGGCTGTGCCATAAGCACAGCAGAAGGTGCTTGGCCTGCTCCATGGCTGACAAGATGAGGCCAGCCCGAACCAGCTCCTCCCTGAGTCTCTGGAGCCCCTGCACTTTGCAATATGCCTGTTGAACCTCATGGCGGAAACGACCCACAAAACGGTCCTGCCTCTTGACTGAGGCTTGCTCCGCAATTTCTTTCTGGATCGAACGGGTCCTGGCTGAACTTTCCATCAAAGAAACGGACTTGCTTCAACTTGCACAAGTACTAACACAGTCCTCAAGATGCAAGCCTAAATCATTCTCGGCGCCATCCACAGCCCTCGATTGACAGATGCTCTGGTGTACTCAGTATATGCTTCACTGTGGCCAACAACTCCACACCAAGGATGGGCACTTCGCAAAGGCTCCAGCGGATAGGAGGACTGCCTCTGGCCGTGACGCAGCGACACAGCCTCAGTTTTGCGACCGTGACCCGACGCACAAACTCCTAAAACATGTTGCTATGCAAAGCTGTAAGCTGTCCTGCCTCACACTGTAAATTGATCTCACGCTCGTAGAAACCTGCCATTGAAGCCACCGTGAGAAAGAGAGAGAGAGAGAGGCGCTCGAAATGTTCATCCTGCCTATAAACCCAAAGAAGAGGTCGCCAACTGTTAGAGAGTCAGGGCAGCCACCTTGCATAGACAAGCAAGCAGTTCAACTTGGAATAAGCGTTGTGGTCTTCCACCAGGCCGGCCTGGAGCACTGGTGCTCTCAGTTGCGGCTTCCGCTGCTTTTACCTTGAAGCAACGCAAGGCAACAATGCTTTTGTCAAGCGGCGGCGGACAGGGGCTGGGTGCTCGCCGGGGGCTCTACCACATAGTCTTGGCCGATTTTCCTCGATTGCTCGAAGCATCTGAGATTCCACATCTTCCACACATGAGAGCACCATGCCGTGCCGTGCTAAGCGCAAACAAGATAAACAAGCCAAGCATCGAGGCGCTCAGCGGTGGGAGCATTGCAGCTTTGGCCTCAGATCTTGTGATGAGTCGTTGCAGTCGCTGATCGGATTTAACGACTTCAATTTCAACAGTGTGTTGCGCGGGTTGTCATCCGAAGCTTACAACCAGATGTCTACCGCGTCGTCAGCAAATCAAGATCATTAAGGATAAAGACTGTGAACCGGGAATGATATGGAAAGCTCAAAGGCTTGACTCGAGAAAGAAACGGGCATGGGGCGAATGAAACAGACAATGTGGAAAGTATCAGCATCAAACCTGCTTTAGACTTAGACCATCTAAGCAGAATCTAGCACAAGTCCAGGATCTCTCGACTGTGTTCCCTCCATCCCAAATGCCAGCCCACCTTCGGCCCGATAAAACCAACCTCCTCCCCCCCCCCCCCCCCATTATGCGGCACATCGCGGCACGAAAACATCCACGCCAAATCAAAAACAACAGCATCTACCTCGTAGGGCTCAGGACAGCGCCTGCAAGTAGAAGATTGCCAGAAGAGTCCATCCATAGGGTGACAGATGGCCTCGAGCCACGTGGCACCTTGATTCCGAAAAACACACTTAGAGACTTAGATGTCCATGTTGGGAAATATCTTCCCATGCAGAGACAGCACAAAGCTGAAGGGAAACGGAATCAAGTTTTTAAGGATGAGGAGGGAACCGAGACATGCAAACGGACCCGAGGGAAATCCACTGAAAGGATGCTCATCCAACATCTTTGACTTGCTCAGCACGGCACACCCCACGGTCTTTTGACCATCGCCTCGACAAAGCTGGCGCTGCAACTAGCGGATCAAATTTTCCAAAGCCTCGCCAAAGCCTCGCCTGACAAGAAGAATCAGCCCCCTGGAGCGGGCATCCATCCTGAGGGCCGTATGCTCGTGCGCAATGGCTTGCAATAGCGCGCAATGGCAGCGCAATGGCGTGAAATAGGGTGCACAATGGTGCACGTTCAGGCGCCGACCCTCCACATGCTGACACCAGCGCAGCGTGGCAGCCTGGAGTGGCCTCAGAGACTATGAGCAGCTGCGAGCAATGTAGCAGCACGTACTGTAGCAGAAGGATGCACTACAGCGACCAAAGCCATTGAGGGGTGCGGCGTGCGGTACATCGAAGCTGAGCTGGCAACACAGTTGACAGAGAAATCAACTGGGATGCCTTGGCCAGAGACCTGACGGTCGGCAGTTGTTCCATTTCAAGATAATCGCTAAATCGCAGTTTCATCAGGCATGAAATCTTCCAGCCGGGTCCAGAACACTCATGGTGGATGGTCCCATTAGTGTAACCTCGGGCACTGCTTCCAGAATCTGTCTGGAACTGTATGAATCTGTCAATATCTGTCAGAATCTGTCTGCAGGACCTTCGGTTCCTCGCAGCGGAAAGCAGATCGGCGGAACTTGAAGCCGCCAGCCTGCAAACAACTGAGAACCCAGGTTTCTCCATGCATGTCCATGCCGACCTGAGGACAAAAGTAGCAAATGGCAGCAAACACCTCTCAGGCCCGGGCAGCTACGAGAAGATCTGTACCTTCACCGGAAAGATGTGAAGATACTGTCCAGATCTCAATGTCAACTGACGTCACTCAGGAGCGTGCATGCCCGGATAGCGGACTTCTGCATTTTCCGTGCATCCATACCTTCAGACACACCCAAGCCCAGCCCCACGCGATGGCGAACCATAGAGGCGAGCCAAGCAAAACAAGCAAAGCTTCATTGCTGTCAAAGGAAAAAGAGCCGTTGGGGTTCCCCGCGAGTTTTGTGAACTCCTCCTTTGGCAAGCCGACCTCTTCTCGAGGAAAAGACCATTGCTGCTAGCGGCCAAGAAACGAATCTGGAATGCAAAGTCGTGCCTTGCAGCTGCCGTTCCAGACACTCTGGATCAGCATTTACAACCAAGTCAATCTCGGGGACCTTAAACTCCCCGCGAGCACTCAAACAACATTGGAAACATTGGAGCTTGAGAGCATGTCCAAGGGCCGAGCAGCTACCCCGAAGGCGGTGCCTCGCAATATGTCGGCATTGGCGAAACCTTCCACCTCAGCTCTTGATACCCCCTTGCTATACGCCCTTGCTTCTTGCTGCTTTCTTGTAGACTCGTAGACACCGTGTATACACCATGCCCAGTGTTTCCAGTTCACAGAGGTTGCGCATGGGCTTGCTCTGTAAATTTCCTCCAGCAATCTACAATACACCGGGTGCTTGGTTGCTTCGATTGCTTCAGAAACTCGAATAACAACACAAACCCGTAACAGCACGCGGCTTGGGAGCTTCGTGAAATTTCATGAGACGACATGTTCCACATGTTCCATGGCCCTTACTCATGACGTGTTTCCACCTATATTTCGGATGCCACGTTTCACGTCAAATTTCCGGCCAGAGAAAACAACCTCATGCGTCTTTGTATGCTGCTGAGCCAAACTCAAGCGCTGGAACAGAAGGCAGCAAGAGGCTTCGAGACACGATACGACCGCTTTGATCCTTCGCACAGGCTCTTGACAACATGACTACGGTATGGGTTTTTCATTTTTCCTGACAATGTCCACACTCGCACAAACAGTCACAGTGACCTCGTAGCGGTAAAAGCTTGTGCAGTTTGCAATAGATCTTGTACCAAGGTATCCAGGGTCCCGACCAAAGCTCCAGGGAGCATTTCTTGTATTATCCTTGCATCATCCGCAAAATAGTCAGGAAGGCCCACAGAGTGGTAAAGGTAAGGAAAGAACACACCTTGAACAATTGCTGATGGAATTTTAGGTAACTTTCAAGGTTTCCAACGGCTATGGGCTGAGCACTTCTCAGCACTGGAACTCAGATACGCCCAGTGGCGATTCAGTGTAGGCCGCAAGCTCTTTTGCAACCTCCAGCTTTTCATGTCGGTCGCACTGGACCGCCACAAAATAACGTAACGTAATGTATGTGGTGTATTTGCTGAGCTGTGCACTCGCTCTGATGCCTCCGACGGCCTCAGCACACACATGGATTTGTGCTCTGGACGTCTAGAAGCCTTTTCATGCTGAGTGTGGGCGCATTCTTTCGGAGGCATATCAGATCTGTTCGTTGTTGTTTGCTGCTTGGCTGCGCACGTGATTAATTCCAGGAGCTCGGTAACCTGCGCCGAACAACATGCAAACCGGGCTACTGGATTCCTAGTAACTTTGTAACCCGCGGCACAGAACAGGCAGCTTGGAGACGGCGAATACACATGACAAAAGCATCAATGAGAGTACGTACAGCGAGCCGACTAAGCACGAGGAGAACGCCTTTGAACACAAACAATGAGCATACACAACACTGTGAAAAACGAAAAAGGACTACCCTGGTCATTGCATGTCATTGCATCACCCTCCAAAGATACTGAAAGTCGCATCGCTGGCCCTTCAAAAGAGTTCTGCACTTACATCCTCAACGACCCTCCTCAACGCTCGTTAAGGCTAAGCGGTGCAGGACACTTCATGGCAAGTGCTTATTCGCCAAGAGGCAGCGAGGCAGCGAGGCCATATCGTGTCCAACAATGTGCATGCACTACTCTACGCAGCTTTAAACCTAGCCACACACGCTAGATCGTACACAACGAAACAAACTCAACGTAGAGAGCCGACGCCGGTTCAGCATGCTTGGACACATTACTGTGGCGTGAGTTTCACGGCACACACAAAGAACGCGCTGTAAGAAAGGGCCTGCTCACTGAAGCCATCTGACTGAAAGCTCGGTGGCTGCACCGGCACCTTGCTTTCCTGCCTGATGGGCCTTAGATTTTTCAAGTACTCACCTCTGACGTGCAAAACTGGCACGTGCAAAACTTTTGGCGTCCTTTCCAACACACAATGCTTCTCGCATCAGCTGTCCATGTTGACACAGTGAGCCAGGTCAAAACCCGGCTTCTGCCCCTGTGGCAGAAGCCTTGCCCTGGTCCGATAGCACTTCATGGACACGTCGCCAGGTTCTCGAAACAGGGTTGAACATGTCGCCCCGGTGCATCCTGCGCCAACATTCGCAAAAAGACTCTGCAGAAGCAGCAACCAACCGCCTATGCCTACCCAAAGCACAGATTCACCCAATGCTTTGCCTTGTGGCGGCCCAGCCCACTCAACGGAATCAAAGACATGAGCATCCAAACTATGGCAGCTGCTCTATCAAGTTCAAGCAAGGTGCCCTATTCGCGCCATCGTGGTCTAGTCGAACTACATCATGGGCTAGTCGAACTCCACCGTTCCAGGCACTGTCTTGGTACTGGGCAACTTCCGTCCGCTCTTCCTTTGCATATCACGCGACATCAAGCTGGCCGCGCGACTCCAATGATCCATGGGCCTTGTTCTGCAGCTTGGACTCGCCGCATCCTTGTTTTTCTTTGTGATGCCTCGAACTAGCAGAAACACTTGTGTTGCGTTGTGCTGCTATCTCACACAGCTGTCAGGCGGCTAGGCTTCCAACTAGCGTTCTCCTTGTTTTTAGGAGTCTTGGGCATTTCACGAGACCCAACTTTCTTCAGCTTCCACTTCACTGCCTCCATAGGTTGAAGCTTGCAAAGCGGCACTTCAAACTTGTCTAAAGCTCAGTACAGCTGGATGAGCTGCAACCGCCTGCAGCTTCCTGGCCAAGACACAGTCAAACGGCCCTGTCTTTTTCATATCAGACTCCAACCGGTCCTTACGTCAACATGCACATAAAGGCATCCTGAATGCACACGGTGAACTCAAAGAGTGCGTGAAGCGTTGATACCGTCCCGCGTCTGGCTCCAGTGTCTTGGGGTTCCTAACCGTGGGTCGCTGAGGGTTTAGGAGCCATGTGCAGCGGGCTGAATGGGTGGTGCGCGGTTGGGAATTTTCCAACAACACATACTGATTGGCTGCAGTCTCCAAATCAAAGGGGTCGCGATGAACCATGCAATAGCCATCAAAGCCTTTGATGATGACACTTGGCCGCCTTCAAAACTGGCCAAAAGCTGCCAGCTCTGTATGCGCGGGGTGGCTGCTCTCAGCAGACTGCCGGCATGGTTTCCGTGTGTCTCTGCTTGACGCTTGTGCAACACTCCAATTTGTCATAACTTTGACGGTTGCGGGTGCGCAGAACTGAAAACGCTCCAATCCGCTTCGTCATAGGGTGGTCTTTGCGGCTGGTGGTGGGGTTAGTGGGAGGAAAGGGGGGCCACCCCCAACTTTTACTCTTCGGGCGTCTGGAAAGAATTTAGGTCTCTCATGAATAGCAAGTCCACCAACAGTAAACAACTGAATCTGTCGTGCCTGATTCTTAACACTCCCAGCGTGCTATTGCAAGTTCTCCTTGATAATGTATCCAACACTATATCCACCACAAGTGAAGAACTCGATTTGCTGCTGCCCGAAAAGGTACACGCCCACTGTGTTACGGTCGGGTCTCTCGACTCTCGACCTTCCTCCATTTCAGACGTCCCAATCTGTTCCAGGCTCTCTTTGATGCAAAGCACCTTACGAGCAGTATCGCTGGAAATCTCCGTTTTGTTATGGCATGTTCTTGCTGCTGTAGACACCCTAGTTTGCTAAGGAATGTTCTTTCGGCTCGAGACAATGTCCAAAGGCACGCACCTCCGCCAATGTATGACGAGAGTCCGTCGACGATACAAGCAACTTAAGAAACTGCAAGCTCCCCAATTTGCTATGGCAGTACGAGGACATACAAGGACAACTTGCAATATGTCCGCTCCAAGTAAGACATAAGTTGTTGCGGCGCTGCTTTATACATGCTGATTGCAGCAGGCTCTCTTGACACAAAACGGCTTTCAAACACATTGAAAGTCAAAAGCCCAATTTGCTACGGTAGGTTCGTAGCACCCCAATGTCGAAGTCTAACATTCGTGTCACTGCAATAGACGCAACTTCGAATTTTGCCCAAAAGCTTAAGGAACAGAACACGGAGAACGATCCTGTTCAAACTGTGTTCATCATCGAGAGCCTGCTGGAGCAAATCGGCGTGTTTACGTTTCTTGGATATTTGGTCAGTCCGCACCTTCAGCGCGTTTATTCGTAAGTTGTTTCGACAAAAGCAAATTCACAAAAATGCATCAAAATGGAGGGCTTACGATTTGTTTACTTGCTCGTGTGCCTCAAACAATTAATTCACGTTCTCAAACGAAAACATGGCCTTTGTTGCCAACTTCCCCAACGAAGAGGACTTGATGATATGCACGCCATGAAACGCTTGGCGTACGGCGTATTGGGGAGGCGTAGGGGGCGGGAGGAGGGGATAAGGCTTCAACTGGTCTGCTCAGCGGCTACATTCAAAATTCTGTGAAGCTGCTGCGCTGACTCGTTCTGTTTACACGGCATAATTACTCTGTTTAACTGATCTGCATAAGGGGCGGGTCAACAAAGCGGCACCCGCAGGCAAAACAAACCGTCACCACGAAAAATATAGAGGGCTGGTGAGGGCTGCGGATTCGAAGTGGTTTGAGAGGTGTGGCAGTGCGATCAGCGAGCCTGATGGCCCCGAGTTTGGGCAATGATGAACACAGATTTGGTCTGGTGTGAGCATTTTCCGTAGTTCTGTGGGTTTGAACGGTTTGGAACGAAAATATGCTAGACTCAAACGTGGGTCAGTGGTTTGCAGGTTACGTGTCCCGGCTTGATAAGGAAAGACGGTGCAAATGAAGGGCGCGTTGTGGTGAGCCTGTAAAGGATGTCAAACAATTCCTCCTGGCTTCTTGCTTCCAAGTAAGAGCACCTCCGGTTGTTAAGGCTTAACTGAGCGAATCTCCCAAAGAGAGGAGGAGTAAGGGAACACTCAATATTCTTTGCTGTAAAGAAATGACGGCGGGTATGCTCAATCATTTGTAAGGGTGCAACGATTATTGTTGGATTACCCGCCCTCGACAAAAGAAAGGGAAAACTCCCCCGCTGCCGAAGAAACGAAGAGCGTCCTTCCTGCTCAGTAGAAGATATCGCACAGCTCCCAGACCCATGAAAGCCTCTGCCGTCGTAATCAGAAGTAGAACCGCCCTGTGCCAACCAACCAAAAAACAATCCCTACCCGGTCGAATTGAAAATGTGGGAAATTTTTCTTCTGCTATTTGAACAACATCAGAGAGCCATGTATTGACCAGTGTCCTCTTCTTATGAGAAAAGTGTATGACAACACCCCTTATCTGCAAGCAACGAGCCAACTTCTCTCGTAGAACCACGGGGGTAGTTCTTCTCTTCTTCGATATATAAAAAAAGTAACACAGCTGCCTGTGCGTGCAAGCATGGCAGCGAAGCCTGCCCCTGACTGCGTCCTGCGGCGGCAGCCAGCTCTTACACTACTTAGAGCAGGTCAAACTGACAAAATAGCGACACGATATTCACAATGCACAACGATATTCACTTATTCACAAATGCCTCGCACGAGTTTCTTCTCCACTAGCTCCCTGTGGCTGCTCGGTTGGCATTGATCAAGGCTGAATGCGATCGTTGGTTTCTCTCGAACCAGCCACAAGCCACTCGAAAGCCCCCCTTCAACGCAAAGCCACGGGAGGAACCGATTGAAAAAATGTCAATCGCGACTCTCGAGCCACGTGTCTCGATGGAATATCACGTGATCACTTTCCACGATCACTGCAGCACGATCCGTGCACTGTTCACTCGTGTCCCTGCATGCATGAATGCACTTTCCAACAAAGTACACATATACAGATACATGTAATTGTCGAGTGCCGAGACTCGTAAATCTTCGCCGGTCCAAGTTCTGGTGGTACGATGACGTACCTCAGACAAGTTCGCGGGAGCTGTCGCTTCCCTGAAGGCACGCCATGATTCACATGATTTCACATGATTCGTCTGCCAGGCTGCCATGATGACTGGAACGGTGATGTCTTGCCATCCTCCCCCACCCAAGCTGGCTTGCGAGACTCCGGCACCAGATCGGGAGGCATGATGTAAGTGTATCCTGAGCCCAGGTGTGGCATGCTTGCAACATCTTGCAACTCACACATAGAAGCAAACATCAACTGCCTAATGGCAAACTTCCGAGCAACTTTGCACCGGAGCTATGAAGAATATGTCCTCCATCCGCTGCTGGAACCTGGAGTGTTGGTACTTGATCTCTGACGAAAACTCTATGCCGACGCAACCAGCGCATCCACAAAGTTTCATGATGTCAACAGCACCCATGTCATTCTCCTGGTGATCACTCTGGATGACATTTACATTTATGGTATTGCCAGCATACATTTCGAAGAAGTACGGCTTCTTCGCCACCCAGTTTGGAAGCAGCAGGAGGCAAGGCTTCATCGACTTTCTGCAGAACCTAAGATTCGTATGCACAAATGCCAACCCGGGCGTTAAACAAAACAACAGACATTGCATCCAACACCCCAAGCTGAAACTAGAGGCCAGTTGCTCTAGGCACCGCGGTACGTGATCTGAGGAGTATGGTGGGTTCGTCATGAAGATGTGGTGCTGCGGAATTCGGTCTTCTTGGATCACCTTGTAAAAGTCCTCAGCGGCCAGGCTTGTGATACGTAGCTCTCGCCACACCTGTTGGCCCTCTGCTCTCGATGCCCATTCGTGCAAGTCCTGATTCAGGTTGCAGACCTTCATGAAACCAAGCTTTGCCAAATGTCGCACCACTGTCCCTTTACCTGGTCCCGCAGCATGGCTTCACAACAGCTTCGGAAAGCAAAGTAAAACCAAAAGACTGAAAACTAATTGAAGCTAGGCTCAAAAGTATGGATCCCAAATCTGAAGTTCTTTTGGCCGCAAGCCTAGCTCTTTCGCCAGGAGCTTCAGCACCGGCAAGACCTTGTGCAGGGCTCGCAGGCTTACTGAACAGCCTGAACAGCCTGAAGAGAGGCAAGTGCAGACAAGGCGACGTGGTTGTATGCGCGTGCTTCTGTTTCGGCCTGAGAGCCAGGACACAGCACATCATCCCCATTCTAACGGGATGCTAACAAGGCTCAGACATGGTCGAGTGGATCGCAACTAAAGGCAAGTCTGCGAGGTGTGTGAGGTGCACCAATGGAGCTCTCATGTGTCCTTGGCGCGAAGTGAAGGAAAAGAATAGACTTAGCATGCCAGACTCACGTAGAGCTGACACAAATTGCACAGTGCTCCTGCATCACTGAAATTACATCATGGGTGCCCACAGGTCAGATTGCCTTCAACGCTGACAAGCGTGCCAACCTTAAAGCAAACGCCGGCTGTCTGCTTCGCATGACTGACAGCTCGTCAAGACACACAATCACTGAGTCCAACGGGCCTTGGCCGCAGATAGCTTCTGCCTCTTTCGCCGCGTGCGCTGTGCCCGCAAGCCTGAGAGCAACAGTATGCAACAGTAATGCTGATGGCCTTCTTCGGATTCTCGGTTGTGACAGGCAGCTTCTTTTCATGAACCGCTGCTGTTCATGAACAGCGCCTCCCTGCTGCAAGCTCCATCGCGCTGTCAAGGCATGGCAGGGATACGCATCTCGATGCTCGGCAAGTTGGCGACTCTTGTGGCTACAGAATTTAAAAAAAAAAACATGACATTCCATGCCAAGACTTTCCACATGCACACTACTTCTGTTTCTAGCTACAAATCTTCGATTTCAACGGATCATGTCCAGCATAACCTTCAGCACAGGATGGCGCTGCGGCATTCCATGTTGCAAACATGTCAGGAATCCACCAACAAAGAATCATGGCAGTCACTGGCGCCGTGCCCAACCCGAGATTCTAGGCGAACGACAGCTGGCTGCTTGGCTGGAACGGTGGGCGTGTTGGTCGAGGTGGCGGGGTCCTCGATAAATTGTCCCTGGCACTAAGCGGGAGGCAATTTTAGACGAAAACCCCACAGGTAGAACACTTACAAGTGTTCAACATACATACATGCATGCATATTTGCATAGCATACATGCATATATTCTTACATGTATACATCTACATGCACATGTACATGTACACTGCTTAAAGAGACGGATAAAGCCACAAGTGTATTCTTTTCTTGCCTGCCCGGTTGGGGATGGGGGACGGTGACGCGCGTCAGTCGGATGTGCGCGCGCGTGTTGGTGTGTTGGTAGGTTGGTGTGTTGGTGTGTTGGTGTGTTGGTGTGTTGGGGTGTTGGTGTGTTGGTCTGTTGGTGTGTTGGTGTGTTGGTGTGTTGGTGTGTTGGTGTGTTGGTGTGTTGGTGTGTTGGTGTGTTGGTGTGTTGGTGTGTTAGTAGGTTGGTGTGTTGGTGTGTTGGTGTGCTGGTGTGTTGGTGTGTTGGTGTGTTGGCGTGTTGGTGCGTTGGTGCGTTGGTGTGTTGGTGTGTTGGTGTGTTGGTGTGTTGGTGTGTTGGTGCGTTGGTGTGTTGGTGTGTTGGTGTGTTGGTGTGTTGGTGTGCGGGTGTGTGGGTGTGTTGGTGTGTTTTCTGTGTTGGTGTGTTCGTGTGTCTTTTGGTGTGTTGGTGTGTTGGTCTGTTGGTGTGTCTTTTTGTGTTGGTGTGTTGGTGTGTTGGTGTGTTTTGTGTGCTGGTGTGCTTTTTTGTTGGTGGCTTGGTGTGTTGTTGGGTTGTTGTGTTGGGGTGTTGGTGTGTTGGTCTGTTGGTGGGTTGGTGGGTGGGTGGGTTGGTGGGTTGTTGTGTTGGTGTGTTGGCGTGCTTTGTGTTGATGTGTTGGTGTGTTGGTGGGTTGGTGGCTTGGTGTGTTGTTGGGTTGTTGTGTTGGTGGGTTGGTGCGTTGGTGCGTTGGTGCGTTGGTGTGTTGGTGCGTTGGTGTGTTGGTGTGTTGGTGTGTGGGTGTGTGAGTGTGTTGGTGTGTTGGAATGAAGAGAACGGAGAATGAAGAGAACTATGAGAGTGAGGACAGTGAGAACAGTAAGAACAGTGAGAATAAAGAATAGTGAGAGTAGTGAGAATAGTGAGAATAGTGAGAATAGTGAGAATAGTGAGAATAGTGACAATAGTGAGAGTAGTGAGAATAGTGAGAATAGTGAGAATAGTGAGAATAGTGAGAATAGTGACAATAGTGACAATAGTGAGAATAGTGACAATAGTGAGAATAGTGAAAATAGTGAGAAGAGCGAGAAGAGTGAGCATAGTGAGAAAAGTGAGAACAGTGAAAATAGTGAGTAATGAGAATAGTGAGAATCATGAGAACAGTGAGAATAGTGAGAGTAGTGAGAATAATAGCAATAGCAAGAACAGTACTAGCAACAGCGCTACAATGAGGGCAATTAGTTATAGTGAGAATAAAAGCGATAGCAAGAACAGTACTAGCAACAGTGCTAACAATGATGGCAATAAGTTTAATCAGGCCTCAGTGCTGCTGTGATTGACATACATAATCTGCTTGGCTGTGAATCCGGTCCTGCTTGGTGCTTGACGATCCTGACTTGTATTGTTTTCTAGCCTCTACCAAACTCATCAGGAGGCGTGCCTCACGTGGAACGTTGACCTGCAATTTGTGAACCTCACAACAACACGGCCACGGAGTGTGTGCTGGATCAAGAGCTGGGAGCCGCTACTTGTTCCACAAGGAGCAGCTGAGCAGCTGAGGCAAGCACAAGATGTACGCCAGGCAGCAAATGGCGAGGAGGAGAAGCTGCGGAAGCTCCAGGCAAGACGTCACCTCAACGATGCTGCAGACTCGGCAGACTCGGAGAGTCGAGCTCTTGCAACACATCTTTTGACACATCTTGGCACGTCTTGGCACTGCCCCTCAGCGCGCTGCCGCCAAGCTCACCACGAGCAGCAGCACCGTTCGCACTTCCAAGCCTTTCCGCGTCCAAATGGAGAAAGAGTGTCAGCAAACAAAGTGTGCACTAACCGGGACACAGCCTGAAGCAGTGAAGCAAAGTGATTGGCGAACGGACTTCGACAGTTCGAAGGTCACGGCAGGGCTCCGCTTCAGGCAGCGATTCCGATGCAGGCTGGACCGACTGTGCAAAAACCATGTAAAGTCGCTGACTTCCTGATCACACCCCAAAGTTCTGCATAAGATGTCCTTCGATTCTTCGATGCTGCCCGAGCTCTCAAGAGATCGAACTTGAGAGGCTCAAAAATTCGCCAGAATTCGTCCAAAAGTGCTTGCTTAGAAGGAGAAGCAGGGCCCGAAATGGAGCGCAAGCGAGTCACAAGACGACTCCAGGTCGGCTTGGCTGGGAGAAAAAAGCTTCGAAGCTCCAAAGTCTGTGGAGCCGAGGCTGGACACAAGATTGGAGCTTAGTGCACGTATTGCACGTGATCATGGAAAATGCTCTGGAGGTGACATGTGGGCGCACACGGAGCTAAGCTCAGACTGGCGAAGACCAGCCAAATCAAGATCATAGTGGGATCCTGCCGTCCTCAAGGACGAGGTCCACTGTTCGTCAAAGCAGGCCAACTGCCGAGAGAAAGTGGTCCCGGCTGGTCTGCTTACTTCCACAAGGAGACAAGGCGCAAGACACGGCATGGGCGCGACATCCGCGGCTGGACGATGTAGAATGCTGCTTACAGAAAGCCATGTCTAAATGGGCAGACTGCCCGAGCTGAGGGTGAGATGTGGCGCATGGTGCAACAAGACTGCTTTGCCAAACCCAACAAGTCCACAGAGCATGTCAATCTGTCTATTTTTCAAACAGAGAGGGAGAGAGGCATCGATGGATAGATGTAGAAAGACAGGTAACAGAATAGCGGTTCGTGTCTATAATGTTGATAACCGAAATGTTCATACAGTATGTTTTCGGCGGCATGCCCCTAATCGCCACAACACTGCTACACCGTGCTACACCAAACCAAATTGGTCTGAGCACACTGAGCACGCGGCTCTGAAGTGACGGCATGACAGCATTAGTACCTGGCTGTCAATCTGTGCGGCAGTGCATCAACGATACTACTTCGGCGACACGAACATGCTTAGAGTCGCAGTAAGAAAGTGCCGAGGCACGGGTTCGGTTTGCAGATAAGGATTGCAGGAGTATTGCAGGCCATGGGATACATTCAGCCCACAACTTGCAGATTGAGCCGATTGAGCCGATCACCCAAGAGTCCTGCGCACCTGGACAAGACTTCAAGAGCTGCCCTTCCTGTAATTTCATCTTGAGTGAAACTTAGCCTGCACTGTCCCGAAGCACCAGGCCTTCAGGCCTACAAGAGGTTTACCGAAGTTCAAGACCGACACGACCGCACCCGTGCAACACCATGCAATACGAGACTCGAGATTTCCTCTGTGCTTTGGCCACCCACACCACTATCATCGGTCATTATCGCAGCTTGAAGCAGGCACCAGAAACGTTGGAGACCTTTTCTGCACAGCTTGTCAAGCTCCAAGACCAGTCAAGCTGGCGGGCAAACCAACTTAGGTTGGTCGACTGCTATTGCGATGCCTGTGACCCCATGCGGGGTCGCAGGTGACTGTGAAACTCCTGCATGGCAAACATCAATACGTAACACCTACTCGTCGTGCAGTCAGCACCGTCTTTCTGCTGAACAGTGCAGGCGGGCAGGAACTCCGAAACGACCACCTAGGCAATCTTCTTTCGGGATTCCTTCTGCCGCCTGCAACACACACCACATGTCAAAGCATGTCGAGGCTGGGCATTGACCAGCGATATTCAGTGATGGGGAAACTCCATTCTGAAAAGAGCATGCACCTACTTCCAAGCAAGACGAGCCACAACTGAATTGCAAAGGCAAAAGTAGCACAAAGCCCACAGGCAACGCACATAAACTCATGCCTCATCTCCTTCATCCAGTTCGAACTTCTCTGCTCCAAGTCCTGGCAATTGCGGGGCTCAGTCTTCTGACCTACATCCTATGTGCCTATAGGAGAGTGGAATCTCCACATCGTTTCAAGTCTGAAGGAGATCGCAGGAAAGCTCAGGGTTGGGCCATGAGAAGGTTCTTCTCCACATCTTCATCATCCACAGACACCATACTGTCGGCAACCGACCCGACAGACACGCGCTTGCCTCGGCACCGGCTTCTGGACTTGCGAATGCCACAGACTCTGCACGGCCTCGCGCCGATACTGTGGCTCTGGCTCGGGCTTGCGCGGCCGGGCAAGCTCCGCGACTGGCGCATGTCAATTTGCACGCTGCTTCCATTCAGTTGCTACTTCAGCAGCAGTCTTAGTGCACCTTACTCCAGACAGCTTGTATCAATGTCTGTCCTCCAGGGAAAGCGGGAGTCCCAATGACGAGCCACCGGCTTTGCCCTGAGTCCCAGAGCTCTTTTTCTCGCACAGATTCTCTTGCAAGAAACCTTGAGTTGTTGCAGCTGCGCGTTCCAGGACCGAATCTCACAAGTAATGGCTCAATGCTGGAATATGCTGTACCTTACCATTGTTATGGTCTGAGATGCCTGGTCTCTACGACGACACGCCGAAAGAAACGGCAATGATTTTACTTCGAACATCCCCACCCTCTCTTGGTAGAGATACTCTGGGGTTGGGCACTCCGGGGACACTCTGGGGTTGGGCACTCCAGGGAGACTCTGGGGTTGGGCACTCCAGTAAAGTTGGGCACTTCAGGAACACTCTGGGGTTGGGCACTCCCAGGGTTTGGCACTCCACAAAGAATGGGGCTGGGCACTGGAGTTGGGCACTCCAGGGAGACTGGGCTCGCCGGGGACACTCTGGGGTTGGGCACTCCAGGGACTCTGGGGTTGGGGACTCCAGGCAAAATTTGGGGTTGGGCGCACTCCAGGGACACTTTGGGGTTGGGCACTCCAGGGATGAGCGAGGAGTAGACCGGGCGAGGAGAAGAGTTCCGGGCGAGGAGAAGCGTTGAGTTTAAATCTAACAACACCACACCGAGGGTGGGGAAAAAAACACAGAAAGCTACCTACGAGAACATCTGCTTGGATGGAACCTTGTTAAAATCCGCACCTCCATAGTAGCAAGGTTCCCTGAAGCATGGAGATTCTTCGCGGTCTGAGCGATTTACTCGTATGTGACACGACGATTTGATTTGGCACGGTCTCTCACAAAGCCGGGCACTGCAGATTGGGACTAAAAACACATTGACATCAAGACACATTGGATCAGTTCTTTGATTTGATTTTGACGGATGAACATTTCTTTCGCTGTGGCGTTGTGTGGCGTGAGTTATGTGGCATCCATTGGCTGCAAACCCGCCGCCCGTAGGAACCCGTCGGCCCAAAGCGAGGCATTCCAAAAAGGCATGCACCAAGGCACTCAATTTCAAGATTCAGAGCATGTGGGACATGGGCAGGTTAGGGCCAACCATGGCGGTGTGATCTCGCAGAACCAAAAACCCAAGAAATGGGCTTGCGAAGGTGGCAGCTGCGCAGCTGCCAGCTCGTCATCTGGCCGCAGAAAAAAATTGCAGCAAGGAAGGAGGTCACCAAGCAGCAGCGTCTGTTTGGACCCTGCCCGTGCCTGTGAGCTCCAACGAAGTCGGATATGGTAGATCTGGCCATGACCACAATAACCAAAGACAAGTAGCAAGGCAGCCACTTGACTATGGATCTGACTTCTTAGATAGTTGCGCTGGTCTCATACAGCACAGCGAGTGCGTCTACGCACGCGATTCCTGAGTCGAGTCCTAAGCCTGATTCACTTGTCTTGAAGTTACAGCTCGATGCCAACCAAAACAAGCGTCCAATGAACCCGCCTGGAGGAAGCTCTGTAGGTTGCCGCCGGAAAGTTCGCGACTGTCGGGATGACTCGCACTCTGCCCACAAACAGCTCAGACCACAAGCATTCGTCTCGCTGGAGCAGAGTCACACACATGTGGTAATGCCGACGCCAAACTGCCTCTACTTGCATAGCGCGAGCCAGGCTAAACCTGAGTGATAAGTCAAGTCCTCAAGCCTGCTTCAGCGTGCGCTGTCGTTCGAGCACCTTCGGCAACACATTCATCGAAAATGACAAATGCACAAGCATCTGCATCTAGCAAGCGCTTCCACCTGAAAGCCTAGCACACAGCCAAGGCTGCTTTCTAGCACTCAAATTCTTCCCAAGTGCGATGTTGTCGTTGCCTCAGTCATCCGGCAGAACTGGGCCCCTCGCGGGTGAGGAGTCTCCTCTATGTCGGCTTGACTTCCTGCCATTGACATAGCAGAAGTCGATGTAAGATTGGTGTAGAAGAGGGGAAGTCACGAGAAGTCACGCCAAGTGTGCATCTCCATCTCTTTCATTGCTTTGAGGCGGAATTCCTGTCAGCTGGAGCGGCACTTTCTGAAAGGCTAAAGTTCAGCACAGAATCGAGCCTCCTCCAGCTCTTTCTTTCTGCTCTTGGCGGATTCAGCCTTCTTGCATGAAGGCTCGCAGTAGAAGCATCGAATCTGTGCCCCTGCCTGTTCTTGGTAAGGTCCACCAGTATCTGCTCGAGCAGCGAATTCCTGGCATGCCGGTGCTGTAGAGACTCTTTGAATGACCTTGCGGAGGGTCTGGGCATGGCTTGGCTCTCGTACATGTGTACTGCATACGTACATAATCCCTTCCCCCTAATATCAACACACCCCTCATAGTAAAACCCCCCTGGCCCCAAGTACCCGCCCCGATTAAGACCTCTACCGAACTAAGGAGCTTCAAGTCCCTAGTCTTATTAGGGTCTCCCAGCAAGCTACAATAAGGACGGGCTGTTTGTTCGGACAGTCGATAGCAGTGACTCAGAAACCTTCTTGGTGGCCCCGCCCCCTAGTATTCAGACCCCCCGAAACCCCCAAAGGGCTTTTGGTATAAGGGGGGTTCTTCGCCAACTCACGCCGGGGGGTTCTTGCGAATCGACAGAATATTGGGCAGCCGTCCTAAAACGCTGCTGTAGAGGCAATGTCTGGAGCCGATTGCAAGGAAGCTAAACAGGGCTACCGAACCTCGTGAACTGCGCAACGTCTCACAAATTCTTAAGAAATACTTTGCGTTCCCGCCTGCAGCCTCATGGCATGCCGCTCTGCCACCCTGACGATGGAAAAGAGTCTCAAAGCAAGCAGTGTTCAAAAGCAACCGGGCGACCGATCAGCTCAGCTGAAGGCATCTGATCCCGGTGCCGCACCTTCGAAATTAAGTCCTGACGGCATCACGATGCAAACAAATTTCTCCGCCATGCTTGAAGGAACTATAACCAAAATTAAAGTGCACCATGTTGGTGCCTTCTCAGTCTTGTCCAGGAGAAGGGCTGCCTGAGCCTGCGCAGGATGAGTGTGGAAAAGGACGTGACTCTGTGACTTGACTCTGTGGAACTTCGTCATCTCACCAAGTCTTCACCTGCCTGGGCGCTCTGAATCTGTGCCGACTTGCTGGCGCTAGCCTCGGGGATCGAGGGACAGGGAACATTAGTATAACGACCTAACTATGCCCCTGCCCACGCCAAATATCAGATCATGTCCGCATCGCGCCAACATAGTCCACAGCGCCTCTGCAAGCTCCTCCGCTCGCTGCTGCTCCTGCGAGAAAATTGTAGACGCCTTTTGTCGCTCTTGGCGCAAGTTTGAGTAGCTCTGCGTAACTTCGAGAGCTTGTAGTGTGCTCGGCGCTCCAGGGCTGCTTTTCGCCGGGCGCCCGCAGCCTAGGCAAGAATATCAAGAATGACGTACCGAGTCTACTCATGTCAAGACGGCGTGCAACTCAACGAAGAACTGCTTGAAAGCTCCTGAAATTGAATTTGATCCACTTGCCTTCGAGTTGAACAAATATCTGTAGAACATGCGGAATTGAGACGCCTCGTCCCATGCTGGCGATTGCTAGCACGAGTCACGAGTACTGGGATGCATGCCAACTTCGCGACCATGTCTGCATCGGAGGTGGCGGAATTTAGCTGGCGCCTGCATTCTTGACGGTCCCTCACTACATTTGCAAAGACCTCCTCGCGCCTCGAAGCAGCTGCATCGTTGCGTTCCTTCCACTTCTTGCTTCGGTCAGCAGCCCTGCATAAATCAGGTGGAAATCAGGTGTCAGAGCTCAGATCCGCAGATGTGCTCATGTGCTCATGTGCTCAGCAAGCATGTTCAGTGCCTCATCACGACCTGCCTGTTGATGGCTGCAATACGCCTGCGGCTCTCCTGGCCAGCCACTGAACCGGAGATGGCTTGAGTGTGCATCTCAAAGCTTGAAAATTGCATGAGGCAAACTGCCAAGCTGATCTAAGCTGCTACGCTGCCTCCAGGTGTCGATCTTGCTGCCTTGGGAAACTTTGGCTGGTGGAAAGGCGACAAGCACGACAGGTGGAGTCCAAGCTATGTACCGCTGATTTTAAAATTATGAATTCAAATTACGCAGTGTAAGGGACCCGGCTGTTGTTTCCTCATTGCTTTCTGCTCGAGCGCCTCAGAATGCCCACAGAATGCACTGAATGCACAGAATGCAGCCGAAAATCCATTCGGCAAGAGCTCAAGCCTGATGCAAAGGCCCCACACCTCTGAAAATGTTTGGCTTTTCTGGAACCTGCGTGGAAAAAAGCCCGTTGACAACATCCACGAAAAGTGTCTCGGCTCCAACCAAAGGCCTCTCGTACCAAAGTTCGCATGTCTTGGAGCGAACAAGGCCCCTGCTTTGCCCTGGACCTCGCAAGTCAGACGCACACAGAGCTCTTTGATCTCCGTGTTTAGTGAGCCCGTTAGACGTAAGATCTGCGCTGCCACGGAGGCACGGCAGTGTGGCTGCTGCCCCGAGTGCGGCAGTTGCATCACCAACACCTCGCACCTCAAGGGGCCGCAGGCGCTCCTTTTCACCCACAAGAACTTGTTCCGTCTCGTTCCCAAATATGGCATGATGCGGGAACTGCCTTCAAAATCTATCAAGTAACGAACCTTTGGCGTTGGCTATGCGTGCTGCCAGCTACTGCACGAGATCTAGGTGGGCCAGCCTTGTCCTCACCGGGAATCTCGGTCCACGAGAAGTGTCGTTACACAACAGAATAAGAGGGTGCATTGAGCAATCAATGTCGAAACGACATGCTGCAAAGCATTCATTGCTTTCAGCAGACATCTTTCGGTCCCAAACTGGTGGTTGGCAAAAGTCAAGAATGCCCAAGTCATCAGGTGATCGTAAAGAAGATCTAAGAACGTTGCGGCACCGGACTCATGGCTGGGTTGAGACGAGTGCGCACTGCCTCTTCGGCCTTGGCATCGACATCACGCTAGAGATGCGGAAGCAAAATGCGGCATCAAGCCAATTGATGTCAAGCCTCGAACCGCTTAACCACCAAGGCCAAAAGATGCCACCGGCCGCTGGGCGTTCAGGCAGGGAGGTCTTTCCTAGTACTTGTACATCGGCCTGTTCCGGCTCGCAGGCCAACCCATCCAGATTTGCCGAGCCCGTTGCATTGGTTGAGACCGCTCGAGACAGTGCATGTTCGGTTTTTGCTCGAGGTTGAGCATGCCCTGGCCTAAAACGTCAGGCCCAGTGCTGCAGGCCTGGGCCCTTTATGCGCACTCGGGGCGTGAGGCCGGCAACGGCAAGAAGAAGATCAAGCTATCAACGTGCTAGGTATACTAACCAAGCTCGAGTAGAGTTGTTCTTGTTATGTTTTTAAAGGCTGCCGCCAACGCCGCGCCGCCGACCCCCAATACACAATTCATACACGAAAGACTTTGCCTCTTTTCCAGGGTAGCACGACGGAGAACTTGGCGTCTGCAAGTGTAGTTGTTTTAGGTACACTAGTACACGGTCAATCTCCAAGAGAGTCAGAGGCCAGCAGCCGCTGGCTTGCGCTTGACTCCAGCGGTTTCTTTTTGCCGCCAACCACTCTGAGTCTGAGGCTCTCCTCGACCAATGGGAGCGATTGGAAAAGCCTTGCTGGAATATTTCTTTTTGAGGGTCAGGCTGTTCGCGCCTGGCCGCCCCTGTGTGATTCTGAAGCCATGCCCACATGTCTTGCCCTGGATGTAGTTGAAGCCATGCTGCTGCCTCGCTGCAGCGCGGAAGACCTGCTGTGGCGGGAGCTTGTCCACCAAAGCCTAGAGGCGCCACGCAAGTCCGACTTCTTAAGCTCCAACTCCCCTGGGTCTGGCGCGCGCACCTCCTTCATTGGTGCGCTGCCAGCTTTCCTTTCTTGCAGCCTTGAGCGCGGCCGTGTCCATGGCCAAGAGGAGCTCCAAGCGCTGTAGCGCTTCGGTGAGGACGCTCATCTGGCACACCTCGGCCGGCTCCACAACCTTCCACCGAAGCAAGCGCCCGCGGACGTGGAGCACGTCGCCCAACGCAGAGCGCAGAGCTTCGGCAAGAGGCGCCGCACGTGTCCAGTCTGCCAGGCAGTACTCTGGAACGCAGTCTCACTGGCGGAGACCTTGACTGCAGGGTAGTCGCCATCGGAGCCGACCTCACATCTACGTTGCACCCAAGCAGCGACAACCCGCTTCTCGAAACAGGCTGTGTAGAGGGAAAGAAGCGCGGGGTGGCCACAAACACACCGCACGCGCACCAAGAGCCCGCCGACGGGGAGGTCCTTCCACGCCACGGGCGACAGAAGCTCCAGCGGGACGTCGTAGCTCTCCTGGCTCGCAGGCGTCCCGTAGTTCAGGCTCGAGTCCAGCCCCAGCTCCGTCAGCTTCGCGATGGCCTGAAACGGGCTAGTCTACATGCCACAACCTGCTTCCCGAAGCGGGTTGTCGCAGCCTCCATCCCTCTTCCCTTAGCTTCGCGGCGGCCTCGGGGTCAAGTCTGGAAGCACCTTTCCCGCCGCAGACGCCGCAACACTGCTTTCTTTGAAGAGGCTCCTGCATGCGTGCAAGCAATACGTTGCCGCAACTGTAGTGGCAGTAGATGCTGCTGAGCAAGGTTTGGCGCACCGTCTTCACATCGGGCTCCAGCTTCGTTGCAACTTGCGGCACAGGCTGTAGGACTGTCGCTCGGGCCGTTTAAGCCGCCTTCAGCGCGGCCAGCTCGCCTTCTACCTTGGCAGCTCGCTCTGCCTGCCTCACTGCTTCTGCCTGCATGGCTTTCAGTCTTCAGCGCCAGCGCCAAGGGCTCCGGCTTCGGAGGCTTCGGGCTGCTCTTCACGGCAGTCCGCTTCGGAGACGGTGATGGCGCCAGCACGGTGGACGGCGTCTTGTCATCCACTTGGGGGCGTCCTCACTCCGCTCACTGGTGCTGTCTCTGGCGATGTCGAGACTGGCCGGTCCTCTGCTGCAGGACGCTCTTTCGTCGTCCTCCTTGTCTTGCTCGGCCTCCTCTTCCGAAGGTGTGGCACCGTCTGCCGGCGCGGCCGGCGCACTTGATGCCCTGCAAGCCTCCGGAGTCTCGTTCTCCTGGCTGCTGTCTGTCCCTTGGCGCTCCACCCCTAAACTTCTACGCTGAAGGAATTGCCGCCGCCAGGGACTGGGATGAAGCCGTCCCTGCGAGCAAGGCGGTGCCGCATTCCAGAGGTGCTCAGTAGTGCTGCTAGCTCTCGCTCTTTCTCTTCTTGTGTGGCATCGCTTGCTAAGCATAGCACTGGATCTGAAGACGGTCCAGCCATGGCTTCTCTCTACAACCTATTCTCAAAGCTATAACATATTTTCCGAAACGGGTTGTAGCAAACTCCAGTGACCTATAAGATGTTCAGACGCCAGTGTGCACCTTGTGTGCAATCAAAATGTTGTCAACCCCGTTGAATCTTCTGGTCACATGCCAAGGCATTGAAAAAGCCTGGCACAACAGCTGAGCGCACACAGTGCGGCACATCAGCAATATCTTCATATACTCTCCAGGCCGCAGGCTTTCACCGGTGGCCTAACAGGTTGGCCATCCCGCACACACTTGCACGCTGTGCCGTGTCACACTCCACCTTGCATTCGCACATGTCCTGCCCCTTTGGGCCTTGTCCAACCCCATCATGGCATGAGCACCTTTCCTGCACGGAAGATAATGAAAGACATGTGTAAGGCACGCGGTGAATGGCAGCGCTGTAAACGCCTGAGGGACTTCCGGCCCTCTTCTTTCCGGGCAGCATGCTTGTCATCTCTTGACCTAAAAAGAATATGAGAGAGCAAACTGTATCAAACTCGATCAGACTGCGAACTGTTTGAAAAGCTGTGCAAATATTTGCACAGTCACCGCGCAGGCCTGGAGCCACTGCGGGCCTTCAGCATCCTCCGTCGGAAAGCCTCGACAGCGCGTTGGGCTTCTTAACTTGCCATGTCAAGAACATGTTCGCATTCAGTCGCAATTGTTTTCTCAACATTGCGCCTCGGCTCTGCGATCGTTTTCTGCCACTTGCTGGCGCCATCGTTCAACAGTTTCTGCGCGAGAACAAGAGGGAAGGTTTGGGGGCTTCTGGCTTTTGGCCAGCCCTAGAGCTTGTCAGGGGATACTTTCAAATCCACCGGCTGCGCATGTGTTTCTGCCAAATTTTCGTCCGGCAAGTCAAGTACGAATTTGAAACCTCAGAGAAACAGTGGTGAGTGGGAGTGAAAAAAGCTAAGGTTTTCCGAAACTTCCGTAAACTGTTGTGCAAAGAAGAGCGCGGTTGCTCAGCTCAGGGGGAGGTCGGCAATGTATGTGATTGTTCCAACCTCTTGCGATATATCTCCATTAGCGTGCGGGAGACCCAACGTCCACTGCAGCTAACCAAAACAAACCTCCGCATGGAACGGGGTCGCAGTCTCCAGTGAGCAACCAGCAACCTCTATACTATGAGCCATTGCGGAAATGCGGCACCTAACTCTTCCCAGTTACGCCTAGCTTGAATTAGGCTAAACAAGCAACGGGCCGCGCCGGCAGGATTCCTAGAACTTAAAACGGCAGACAGGGTACAGCGCCGACCCGTATCATCATCAGGGACTTCTCTTCGAGTGGACCCCCAAGCACAGCAAGCAGAGTCGACGATCGTTGCAAAACATCTGTCCCCCTCACAACAGTCTTGGATGCCGGCTGAATGTAAACAGGCCTGGCCTTCCAGTAGGGAAGTTTTGGAAAATTGAAACTCGGCCGGGGAGGTTTCTCACCACAACCGAGGAATCGCGGACGTTTGTGTGAGCTTTGGAGGGAAGTCGTTGAAAACGGCGCGCACCGCACGGGGTCGGTTGAGGCATGGACCTCCAGGCAGAGCCCAAGAACGCCCTTCCAGGCACCATGAACCCTGTTGAGGGGGGGAGGGGCACGTTTGCGGCTGGTCCACTTTGCTGGCATAGCTGCGCATGCTTCCAGCAAGGAGGACTGGGCCGGGGCAGCGACAATAGGGGCCACTGAGGCACGGCTTCAGGATTAAGCGGCCCAAACGGCTGACCGGAGGTGCAAGCAGCTGGCCGAGATCACCACGTCGTCAGGTTGCTACACGGAAGGATCAAAACAGGCCTGACCTCGCTCGCGCCCTTGTTCGGGCCTCAGAAACCTGTGGAATCCCACTTAATACGGCGAACAGACCTCCCTAGGAACCAGAAAGTCAAAAGTGAACCTGAAGCAACTTTCAGGATGCACAGGAGGACAGGCTTCGTGCAGTAGTACACTCACGGAGCACCAAAGTCCTGGACAGCCTCCGAAATTCACCCCCACCAACTTCTGAAATCCCGGAGATGTGCATAAGAGATCAGAAAAGCCAGAAAGGCTGAGCAATGGTGACATTCACTGAGCTCCTTTCTACGGTTCAGTTTTGCCACTACAGGGTCCAATTTCTCCCAATGTGCAAGACGGCTTTTCAAGACATCGGCGCAGCCGCACAGCCTGTCCTGAGTAAACGTTGTGCGACTGGAGCATGTGCCTCAAAAAGAAAAGAAGAAAGACGCGGCAGGACTGGCTGCAAGCAAGCGCATGGCACCTGTAGATGTCTGCCTGCGCCTCTGGCTTTTCATGCCTGACAAGAGACTGCGAGTTGAACCTTCTGCTGAGCAAGATGCTTTCTGCTTGCACTGAGGATGGTTGAGCAACTGCTAGTCGAAGCCAAGCAAGAAACAGAGAGAAGCAATCACATCGCGTTTAGGGAACTCGAGCCAGCACCTATGGACTCCTCCAGCCGAGCAAGCACGTAGTCAACAAACTAGCCCATGATGGCACAGCTTCTTGGACCAGCAGGGCAGTGATGCAGGCCTGGGAGAGGCAGAGCGTGCAGTTTGAGAGCCACTTCGCCCACCTCGAGGTGACCTCAGGCTTGCCAGAATCAAAGGACATGGGATAAAACGCTTCGGCAGAGTCTGACAAATCTGACAATGGATCATGTGGCCGGAGATCTAGCCAGGGTATGCACCCGTTTTTGTAGTATTCGTCGCGAATACGATCCTGATCCACAGAGCAGATTCAGATAAGCTCAAATCAGGTCCAGGATGGTCCAGGGTAAGCCAGTCAGGGCAAGTCCTGCTCTCGCAAGGTCTCTCGAAACACCTCGCACAAAGGAGCGACATAGCTGGCTCATTGATGAGCGAAGGGTAGTCATGGGATGTACTGGCTTCCCAGCTGACCTTCTGTTGCTCGCTTCGTCTTTGCTGGGCAGCAAAGGCCCGCCGACCTGCCAACTCAACGGCAGATACAGCATAGTTCAAATGACGCACGGGAAGTGTTGGCCAAGGTTGCGACGGTGCTCATCTGCGATTTCCCGCTGCCTCTTCGAACGTCACAGGGCCAGGTTGCAGGAGCACAGTAATTTGTAGCTGCGCGCCTTTCAGCCAAGCGTGCTTCTGCAGCCTCGCAGGGTAGCTACCAAGAAACAGAGATGGGAACACTGAAAAAGCACATGCCTACTGCGCTCAAGCTGCTTTGCCATGCCTCTCTCTCAATCTGCTTTTGCTCCGTTTTCCGCCGCGCCTCACAAGACGGGGGGAGGCAGAGCGGCATCGTCGGAGCTTGAAAACTGCCCCCCCGTCCTCCTCAAAATGCTCCCTCCTGCAAAAGTAGGTATCTCGAGACTCAGCCACAAAAGTCTGGCAAACGTCAGATTATAACACTGGCCCCTCCTTTGCTTCCAAAAAGCTTGCTTCTTCTCCTGTTCACGCGGACTTCGTCAAAAAAAGCAAGAAAACTACAATCGAGAGCGAGATCACATGCGACAAACTTTTCTCCACCCGCGTCACTGCAACGTTCTTCAGAGGCCGCACCCTCAGTCGGGCTCACTGTGGAGTTTCTGGTCTTTTCCTCTTGGCCCTTGCCTGCAGTAAAGGCAGTCGGGCCGCCGGTCTTTGCTCGCTTCGCTTCGCGCCTACAGCGAAGAGCCAACACATGCCGCTTTTGCTAGACTGGCTAGACTGCTGCAACTGCCATATGAGCATCCGTCAATCCGGGGTCCCTGCTGCGCCTTCTGATGAACCTCAGACCCACACCATGCCCTTTGCCAACCCCCCCTCCACCCCCTCCACCTACCGCTGCATCTACCGCGGACCCCTGCGTGAACCTATACTGCCTATACTCGCGCCTATGGACAGCCACACACTTTTGAAAGAGGATTCTGTTCACCATCGCCGAGATGATCAGTCGGGTTGAGGACCATGGGGTCTCCTTTAATACTGGTTAGGGCAAATGCCATCCTGATGTGAATACGCATGCAGGGAGCCAAGGCACGCATCGATCGAAAATCAAGGACGCTGAATTACCGTTGAACGTCCCAATTTTTTTCACGTCACCGTACTGAATTCACAAGTATTCAAGTAGCCTGTATCCAAGCTTGCATCCAAGGCACTTGATGACGGGGTATTGTGGCGAGCGCACGGCGAAACACTATCCGAGGCACGATGTGGACGCGCATAGAGGCATGTGTGAACTAAAGATCCATTGGAAGTTTCATGGGTCCCGCATTCGCGCAATCATCCTGCTGCTTCCTTTGGTCTCCCTGCTCTCATCGGTTAGATACAGCCACATAGGGAAGACATTCTAAATAGCTACAAGCCCAAGCAAGTATGATGTGCACTTTCGTAAGCATCAGGATCGTCTTTGTCAACACGAAAGTACGTCTCGGTGAACAACCCGGATTGCACCCTGCTGCATGCACAGCCCGCCGACGTGAAATCGATGAACGTCGATTGTGTCGATTCGGGGGCTCGAAAGCAAAATGCAGTCCGTTCGGCCCCTGCACTGGGATCCCTGCAGGTCGTTTCTTGGCGCTTGGCTGCACACGCTCCACATTCGGCCACACCTTGGGTCTGCCCAGGCTAATAATGCAACGTGATTGGGGGGATGGCCATGGGTGGCCCATCTACATGAGGAATTCGATGTGTGAGAGGGTTAGGATTTCGAGCGGGGTGTCTGACGGGGATGCGTTCTGAGACGGGGTAGCCTGTGACAAACCTGTCCGAAGACGTAGGGGGCACAGCTGGCAGCTTTCAATTCATTGTCCTTTCATTGTCCTTTTCTCAGCCTTTCCTTGTTAAGTATCAGATGCTTTCTTGCTGCAACGCCCATCGCCAGATCAGCCAAGACCGCAGCCTTGGCGATCGACGTCAAACAGTCCTGCATCTCGCTCGACACCGTATACACCGTGCTCTCTCCTCCACCTGCAAGAGCGCTGTGACAGCAAATGGCGGAGATACAACGGTTCCGGTAACCCTGGCCTGAACATTCCAAGGACCATGCCAGCACTTGGCGGTACCACTTCACCTCCCATACTTCTAAGATCATCAGTAAGAACTTTTAAGTCTTGAGGACCTACCTTCAAGTCAGCACGCAGCCTGCTCAAGCTTGACTTTGGCATCCTGCCAGGACACATCCACATTGGCCTGGTCGTAGCCGAAAGTGGCTCTTGAGTATCAACAAAGGTCCGTCCATCCTCTTTAGGCAGATTTGAACAACCGCTTCCTTGCCTTTACAAGCTTATCAAGCTTTCAACTGCAGGAATCACTCTGCAGCCAGGCCACATCCATCGAGATCCGACCTGCTAGTCGGTGCGCATCTGCATGGATGCGAACTCGAGCACGCAGACTTGTGGCGATTGAACGTTCTTCAGGAGAGTTCATCTCAACGGTACGGAGCAAGCTCCAGAACTGCATAAACTTATCGTCGGAGCCCAAGCGGCGCCTTGCTTCTTCGGCGCCGATTTGCACAGCATCGGCAAGACCTTGAGCGCTCCTCTCCATGTACTCCATATCATCTGGAGCACGCGGGTGGCGCACCAAGCGAAGCAATAAGCCATCTTCTGCGTCGTAGCATGTTTCGATCGACTCAAAAGTAGCTGTGCAGCGACTCAGGCACAACTCCAGCCGTGCGCACTGGGGCTTGCTTAAAACAGCGCGTGCGGGAATCCAACATGGTTCAGGCACTCTTTGCTTCTTGGCGTTCGGTGCCTTGTACGCTGCGAGCAGTTCTTCAACTTGGGAGATCAAAGTGCCAACTTCGCCAGCTTCGGCAACTTCCTCCTCCCCTTCTTCGTTTACATGCTCGTTCGCCTGCAAGGCATCTGATTCTATCAAACGGGTCCGTACACGCAACTGGCCATCCCGAAAAAAGATGACAAATATGTCCGCATTTTGTCGGAGGAAGTGTGCGTTAATATGCACAGGTGACTGCTTCTGAGCAGCGACGGCCTTCTTGACTGCGCTATACTTCAGAATTTCGTTGAGATTGGTACAGCCACCAGACCCCAGAGCATTGCTGAGAATATCCACCGCATTCCGCACAACTTCTCGCAAAGCAAGAAAGTTGGCTTGATAAGCAGAGTTGTCGACCGTTTTGATCGAGCCCTCCAGGCTTTGACTGATTACCTGCCAAGCCTCCAGCAGCTTTGCCTCCGCGGAAGACGCAGGTCCAACAGCCAAAAGCTTGCCCAAAAGATATAGCTGGAAGAATGCATCGTCAGCAGCGTATGCTCGCTGCTCTGGACTTAAGCTAGCACGTGCCCAGTTTGAAGTGCCTACCGATTTGAGCTTCTGTATTGGGATCTCAAAATGCTGCGCCATTTTGAAGAGCCCATGCGGAATGCTGCGCGCACCCGCAAGCTCAGCAATGTCCCAGTAGGATGCTTTCACTGATCTGGAGTCAAAATCCCATCCGAAGCTCATGGCAAGCTTCGCCTTGTCTGCGCTGTCGAAGCTTGCAACCACTTTGATCACATCATCACCTGACTCCAAAAAGCTCTGCAGCCACCCAGGCAGCTCTGAACAACCCAGAGTCCGGATAATAACTACTGTGTCCCAACAGGCAAACTGCATTACAGCTATAGGGTTGTTCTCTGAAACACCCTTGTCAGGCTTCCATTCGAAATCTAAGCCCACCATCAAAGGTCGATCGTGTGCAGCGAAGACTGTTTGGAAGCGGGACTTGGATATAGCATTCTCAAACGTCTTTTGTGTGGCATCGTCCGACACCCCACACTCAACCACACGTCCTCCAAACGTGACAAATTCGGACGGCACGGGAGGCGCCATACTGCAACGCACATAACCTGTATCTCAGCACTGTATGCTGGACTGTATACCCTGCGTATCCCTGCGTGAGATGCATACTCAAGAATACTCCTACAACACAATGTACTTAACCAGAGACGTCACACACATCTCCTGTTTTGCTTCTCAGATGCCCTAATCATCCTAGAACACGGTAACAGGACCGGACAAAACCCTGGATTGAGCCTGAGTAAGTCTACTGCAGCAGCCTGCAGCACAGAACCGGACAACCAAAGCCATGCAGGGAACGCTCAGATGCGTTTAGGATTCCATGACACCCGGGCCTGTCTCGTCAAGATTTGCTTCGCCACCGTCCACGCTTGTTGATCAAACGTGCTTGCCTGATGCCAAGCATTTGCGACAGTGTCTAGGAATCCGAGCAAGCGAGATGTCGGCAGAAATGTGACGTATCAGCAGCAACCAAGACCCATTGAAACCCATGCTCGGAAGGCCTCATGCATTGATGCAGAGGTGGTAGCAGACCTGCAAATATGAGCTTCTTGCGTTCGCTGTCAGGCAGCTGTAGTGGCAGATATGTCCTGCTGTCTTCATATGCTGTATGGAACACAGAGCTGCTTGCTGCTTTCACAGACGGACGGTCTACTTGGACAGTCTTGGCACGTTGAGATGATTTTGCCAGAGCTAGGCAGGCGGCTGAGAGTGGCGGCTAAAAGACGACCTTGGCATGACATGCAGTGCAGAGACGCATCACAATGAGCACACGCCTGTGCGTAGCCACAGAGACAACCACTTGTTGCACTGCCAGGCACGTCGATTATTTCACGCGACTTCATCCCTTGAAGTGCCTTATTTCGTCTGCACCGATTCCCAAGGGCCAACAGCCGAAGGCTCCACGTTTCGCGCTCATCTTGCACACTCTTGTCAGCACTCGCGCTGATAGTTTGAAAGCGTTGACACGTCATCTGAATCTTCATTAAGCTCTCCTTTCAAGCCAAGCCAAGGTGCAACTCTACGCTGCGGATCCTTCGTAGATGCGCATCTGACAAAGCCAGTGAGCAGCTTGCAACTGCTTACATCTTTTTACGTTTCGACTCTCCACCAGTGCTTGTCCACGAGAAGAATCTTTCTGCACTGCCTAGCGGTACGTTCGAAAGCATCCTGTGGGTCCCTTCTTGTGGGTCCCTGTGGGTCCCTGTGGGTCGTTGTGGGTCGCTCTCTGAGCGCTTCGCCAGCTCCGGAAGCGCTGCGAGCTGCCGGCCTTCGAGGCAAGGAAAGGGGGCAACAAATCGTCTAAGTTCGACGAAGTGCCTTGGAGAAGGCATCTGAAGCCTCAGCACGGGAAACATGAGCAGTCCTCTTCGAAAAATGCTACACTGCTACACGCGGCTACCATCAAGTTGCTGGCACTGGGGGAAATGGCTCCATCATCCTCCTGCAGCATGTATTTGATGTTGGTCTGGCCTGGTTTTGGGTCTGCATGTGCAGCAGCCTCCACCATCTTTCTGAGAATTCCTTGCAGCACCGCCTTTCAAGAAGAACAGTGTGGGCAGAAGTAGAGCTGTTCACATGTACAGCAATGTAGACGATGTTGGCAAAGGGTTGGGGTGTTAACTCATGTCAATGCCGTGAGGTTGGCTGCCCCCATGACGGATTTTGAACTCAGGAACTATTGAAAGCTGTGCGCGCTGGTGACCTCGTAGACCCCAACCCCAGCACCCTCAACCACACTATATCCGCCGAGGCCTCGGGCCGAAGGTGTATAGGTTGTCAGAACAGGCACCCCCCCTCCTAGTCCTCCGAAGCCATGTGTCGGACCCCTTTTCTTACCTGGAAAGGGTACCCCCCCGTGGGCGACCACGATCTGAAAGCGGACGGTTCGCCAGGACCAGGGGCAGTTGAAGCCCCGCCTAGCAGGCCCCCGATGCCCTTTCCTGCCCCCCGCCTTTGACCCCCCTGCCCCCCTCCCCTGCCCCCGACCCCCCCTGCCCCCCCTTCCTGTTTTTGCCCCTCCCCCCACCCAACCCGTCTCAACCCTCAGCCTTGAACCTTGAACCCTAACCCTAAACCCCAAACCGTGAACCTTGAGCCCTAAGCCCTCAACCCTAAACTAACCCTCAACCCCAAACCCTAACCCATAAACCCGGAACCCTAAACCCTAAACCCTAAACCCTAAACCCTAAACCCTAAACCCTAAACCCTAAACCCTAAACCTTAAACCCTAAACCCTAAACCCAACCCTTATTGCTTGGGGTCCAGCGACTTGGGCGCTGCGGAATCACCATGCTCACGCGGATGCGCTGGGCCGGGCCGAGGCGGATCGCGTAGCGTTAAAATCAAGGCCAAAATAAAGCATCCTGAAGCCCTCAACAGTCAAGGGATTTCGTTCGATGTCAGTGGAACAGATTGGAACCGAATGTCTGCGGTCAGACATGCTCCTGGAGAGCTCGAAGACATGCAGTGGGCGTTGGACCCATGTCTAATGGCTCCACATGTACAGGCTGTGACATGCTGAGTCGCAGGTTGTGCCGTCATCGGCGTAGAAACCATGCTTTTGACTTCTTGGTATGAAATTGCAACGCGTCTTGCCATGTCTTTCCAGACATCTCAACGGACACCAATGGCAGCTTGAAGACTAATCGATCTATTCGTATCGCTTCATGGTTGATGATGTTGCTATTGATTCAGGGGTTTATGTTTCTGGCATTCGCGATCAGTCGTGGCATCCTGGCCTCCTGCTTGCTGACCAAAGCTTTCGCCTTCTGAGTCCGTGCGAGGCTCTGGCGCCGCTCATGCATCACCTCAGCAGGGCATAGGCTATAGCTTGGCAGCTTCGCACATCTCATGCAACCACTTCGAAGACTTGCGACTTGCGCTGCCACGCCACTGACTCCTCGTCAAATCTTGCCCAGCCCATGTCCCCAGACTCATCTGGCACCTCTTCCAGACGCCAGCAAACAATGCTCAAACACGCACGCTTCGCAGCTCGCTCCTCTGCTGGGATCGCCATGGTCCGAAGCTCTTGCCGTCACATTCGGTCAAGATGGCGTGTTGTGCATGCATGCGTATTATTCAGGCGCCTTCGAGTATCTGGACATGATGACACCGATGTTTGCGTATGCAAGCGCAGCTTCTCTGAAGCTGTGTAAGGCTAAAGGCTATGCAGCGTCATGGAACTCAAGTGGATCCAAGGAACCAGCATACCCCACAATTCTGCGAGCCAGCAGCGTGGAAACGGGCGATGTGAACATGCTTGAATGGAGTCCAGTACGCGACCCGTGTGCTGCAAATATGTGTACAGAGTGAGGTTCTTGAAGAGGTGCATTGCCAAAGCACGACTTGCGGCTGTTTTGCCCCGGTTGCTTGCCTTGGACAGCCTGCCTTCAACGGAGCTACCAAACGAGCAGCTTGCCTGCGGCCGTCGACTTCAGCCATTCCACCGGTTTGAGACTGCTTCAGCAAGCATCGGCCTGCCCGGGTACATCAAGTCTCCGGAAGATCAGAGAGTCACGCAGAACACTGGAAAGCAGAAACACGGCGTGCGGCTCAACGCAACAGCAAGTGCCATTAGATCCACAAGTCAACACGCCTGGCTGCAGCAGCAAGATCCACGATGGGACTTAGTTGTCGTCCCACGCCCTCGGGCTCTTGAAGCATTCTTGAAGCAGAGCAGCTGACAAAGCAAGGTTGGAAAGTTTAACAAGTTTGCCTCGAGCACGATTATGCTGGTCCTGAGCCACAAGCTGTCACAAGCTCAAAAGCAAAAGCACCTTGCCGCCACACTTCAATGCTCAGTGGCGAGCGCTACTGTCACAAAGCTGGTTTCCAGCTTCACCCGGTGCTCACAAGCAAGCCTGACACTCACGCACCGAATAGCATGGACACGACAGCTGTGCTACCTACGCACTGGCGGGCAGTTGACAAGGACACGGCGAAAGAAGCTGCCCAAAGCATTCCCCCAAGCGCACCTTCTCAAGCTGCCACATTGAAAAGATGGCTCAATGTTCCACAGGGCCACAGAAGCGTCCGAAAGCGGGAAATTTCCTGCTACAAACCAACCTTCCCAAGAGCGAAGCCCATGCCACAGACTTGGCTCACAAGCCTGCCAACCTCTGCCTTACGGAGAATCGAGAGGTTCCCATGTCGCGAGCTGCTCAGGACAAGAACTAACAGAACACATGGTAAACTGCACATCAGGCACGCACCACAAAGTGAGCCTCATCACCTGGAAAGCAGCTCAGTTCAGAGTTCAGAGAGCACGTTTTTCTTGGCAAACTGTCTGGATGGCTTCTTGCAGCAAAGATTCGCACAAGGGAACGATCACCGGGTGTTCGTTCAACCTCAACCGGCCAAATTAGGCCACCGTGGGCATGGACGTTGACTTGGCTCAGGTCTTGTCCATCAGTTGCGCAGCTCGTTTTCCATCATTTGTCGTCAGTGCCTGGATGTGGCGGCGGAAACGGATCATTCAGGACTAGCTAAGACTTGGAACAATGCTGAGGGATCCGCATAGAATACATCGATAAAGTTTCGGCGGTCCTGTCAACAGAGATGCAGAATGTACTGGAAAACGACAAGCCTATGAAACATCGCTGACGGTGCAATACCAAGGAAAGCAAAGTGCTTGCCTCCAATTGCTACCATATACCGCGCTTGATATCAGAAAATGTCCGTCCAAACGCTGCCGTAAACAGTGTTGTTCCACCAGCTTGGCAGCTTGAGATGCTGCGCTTTGCAGCTTATCTTGAGTCTGAGCCATGTTTGCTTGTCTGGGAAGATAAAGGTGTTTCATCCCTGTGTGTGGCATGTGCGCCCATTGCTTTGTGTTGCAGGGTCGGGGCCTGCACAGACATTTGCACAGCCAAGCCGGCATCAAAAATCACCTCGATCCCGATGTGGGCTCAAGACCGACAGACTGTGAGTTTGGCATCTGAGCTATGCACAAGCTCCGCCTGCAACGGGCCCGATTCCTTTGTCACAAATGATGCGATTGTGATTACATTGCTGCTCACGGAACCTGCTCAGGCAAGAACGGTGCCAACTCGACGCCTGTGGAAGTGGATATTTCCCGGATGGAGATCCTGACATTGAACTCGCAATGCAATACGTGACCCTTGCTTCTCCCCAAGGTCGACTGCTAAGTTGGCCAGCTGGCGGCATGGATGAAATTATCCTTGAATAGCATCTTCAGAAACCTCATCCGCAAAAGCGCGCATCCGACAACCCTACGCCTGCTACAGAGCTGTGCGATCAGGGCACACATCCATGCAGAGTCCTCCCACCTGAGCACAGCTGCTTGCCCGTTGGGACCCGCTTTACCTCGTAACCTTTGAGGTTCAAGCCTAGGGTCCCGTCAAAACCAAAGACAGGCAACCGAAAAGCCGTTGGGGCGACGAGCGGCCATCAAGCTTGCGTGCAGACTTGTGCGTGCAGTGATTATGCTCTTCTTGCAACGTCGAAGACAATGTCCAAAAAGAAGTGACAAAACGACAACATAATGATCCTCCACCATGTGAAGAGGTCGCATTGGACGGCACTGATCTGTAAGTTCAGGGTTGAAAGGAATTGCTCGTAAGCTCTGAAACACCGTGTATCTGAACACTTAGTGGAGACATCTGGCAGACGCATCACCATCGGATGCCACTAGTAACTTGTATTATAATGCAGCGAACGCAACTTTAGTATTATTACGAGCCCCCTTAAAAACCCCGACTTCGTTCATACATTTCATGCTGCATTTCGTGCTTCATTCTATTCATTACAAATGCAGCATTAAATGTACTCACTTCACTAGTTGTGTTACCTTTAGGACAAGCGAGAAGATAAAAACCTGTCTTGGTCATGAAGATAACATGTTCCTGTATTGTGGGTTGCCGAAAATCCCGGATGGCCGGTGCTTTTGTGAATGCCTACTGAGTTTGCTTGCTTGCATGCAAAACCCTCCTTGTGCCGGACGAATCTGAGAACTGCGCCTCGTCGCGAAGTTGATCCAGGGGTACGTTCAACAAGGCCCCTGGCGTCATCGTGCCTGAAGCTCGAAAGTGCTGCTGCTAAGGCGTTGCCACCTGCATTCCACACACACACACACACACACTGATGCAACGTATGGCTGACTAGATTCCAAGATCCATACCATCTCGCTTGGCCCTTTGTGCCTCCGCCAACGCTCAAGACACAAGTGATGTAGCCAGCATCATGACACGCAGATACTTTTGCGATTGAATACACCCTCCTCTCGAAACGCATACCTTGACTGGACTTAAAGTGTAGCAGCTGTTCTGCTGGTTGCAACCTGAGTTTTTTTATACAGTTGCGCTGCATAAAGGTACTTATGTATACGTGTGCCCACCCACACACGACCCACACCCAACGCACCCCACCCACACCCTCCACACCCCACAAACACCCCACACAGTTCGCGGGTGCCGTGACAACATCATCTGAGTTTCGAAGCCTGTCAAGGCAACAACAAGAATCAAAAACAGAAACAACAACTGATCAAGATTGCATGCTGCCCTGTTCCGTGGCTTCTTGTTCATGACTCTGGCATGTTTGGGCAAGTATCAGCGAAGTCCCATGCGCCAATCCGCAATGCGTAGATCCAGTGGCTGCAGGCTGTTGCAATCTTGCACCAGACTTGACGAAACAAACATGTTCAAGAGTAGCAGACCACAAAGTCTAGGCCGTGATTCCATTGCTGTGCGGCCTGGCCAAGGACCGCTTGCAAAGGGACCCCTTCCTCCAGTGACTCGACCTAACAACAGGGGAGGGCGTCGCAGGTCATGTGCCAGTCGGCCGTTTCCGAATAGTTTCGTTTAGTGCACTGAGAGGCGCACGAGCAGCTCCTTGGTGACATACGGTCGCAAGACCTGCTGACATGTGCGTGAGATCGGCTATTAACCGTTCAGGGTAACAGGCACATCAGCCAAGCAGAACTCAGCAAATATGAGGGCAAATCAGAAAACAGGGCGGTGCAAATCAGAAAACACCAAGGCACAAATCAGTCAGCAACAGTGGGGGCCAGGTTTTTTTTACCCTAGAAGCCCTACACCCTAAGAACCCCTGAGCCCTAAACCCTAGACAACCCTAAAAACCCCTAAACCCTAAAAAACCCCAAACCCTAAAAAAACCTTAAACCCTAAAAACCCCTAAACCCTGAAAACCCCTAAGCCCTAAAAGCCCTAAGAACCCCTGAGCCCTAAACCCAAAAAAACCCTGAACACCAAAAAACCCTCAAGAAACCCTCAACTTCTCTAAAACCTACAAACCCCTAAGCCCTATACCCTAATAACTCCAAACCGTAAACAACCCTAAACCCTAAAACCCCTAAACATAGGCATGATTTTTTCAAACCCATCATGCGAGCATTGTGTTTGCAAATGCGGGGGGGAGGGGGGCTGCGCCCCCCCCCCCCCCCCCCCCCTCCCCCCCAACCCCCCGCTTTATTCTTTTTCGAACCCATCATGCGAGTGTTGCGTTTGCAAATGGAAGGGGCGGCTAAAAACCCCTAAACCTTAAACCTCAAAACTCCTAAACCCTAAAAACCCCAAAGCCCGAAAAAACCCTAAACCCTAAAAACCCCGAAGCCCTAAACCCCAAAAGCCCCTAAACTCTAAACCCTAAACCCTAAAGCCTAAAACCCCCTAAAGCCCAATAACCCTGAGGCCTAAACCAGAAAAACCCTAAACCCTAAAAAACCCTACACAAAACCTTAACCCTAAACCCTTAACATCCTAAACCCTAAATCCTAAAAGCCCCCTAAAGCCTCAAGCCCTCAACCCAAAACAAAACCTGAGCCCTAAACCAAAAAAACCCTAAACCCTAAAACCCCCTAAGCCCTCAACCCTTAAACACCCCAAGGCCTACACCCTAAAAAGCCCTAAACCCTAAACCCTGAAAACCCGAAAAACCTAAACCCTAAACACCCCTTACTTAAATACAGCAAACCTTGCTGTTCGAGCGCAAGTGATAAATTTGTTACCATAGGGGTCTGTATGCCTATCATAGGGGGTCTTAGTAAAACCCTATCATGTTAGCTTAGGTTAGGTTAGCTTGGGTTGGGGTTGGGCTCTTCTGTCTTTGCTCGCCCACTCCTGGCTACGGCGATGGCCCGTCAATGAGAGAGACCGATGTACATGCATGGCTGTCCATGCATGCTGATTCACCCCTCGCTGTTTTCTGATTCGTTCCTTGCTGTTTTCTGAACCATTCATGGTCTTGTTTTCCGATTTAGACAGCATCCCAACCGTTCATGTTTAAACTTGCAGACGTGTAGTCTAAACTCTACAAACTCCAGCCTCAAGCCTATCCACATGCTGAGGGGCTAATGATTGTACAAACAAGCTCGAATCAACAAATCTAATTGACTGATTGATTGACTGCCTGTGGGCGCGAACGCCCTTGCGTCTGCAAGGCAACAGAGGCTGCCCCAAGCTGTACGAGAGGCGACAGCACTCAAACACGAAAACTCCTCAAGAGCAGAGATGCATTGCAGCTCTGCACGGTCAAATGAACGATACAAGACTCCACAAGCATGCACTGACAGTGCATGTGCTCAGCGACTAGTACTAGTACATGCGTGCGCGAAATTGCAAGGTCACTTGCGCAAGCGCGCGCCCGCAGATAGTGCAGGACAGTGCATCGCCAGCCGTTGCGATCTTGCCCGCCATTCCTCGCGCATGACGTGGTAGACTCCGCCAAAACTGCGCCACATCAGTGTCGAAACGCCTGGGATGGAACCTTGCCGGACGGCGTGCCCCTGTCACAGGCAGGCCTTGCTGCTGTTGCCACCAGTCACTGTCTCGCCATGCCAGAGCCCGCGAGCATTTTGGCTTGCATGCCGCACACCGCTTCAGCTGCTGCCTGACTGGGACGCCAGACTGCTCCCGCCCATAGCAGAACCGCTCCCACTTTGGCATTCAGCAGTCTAGCACGGCTTTCCAGGCTGACACCGCGGCAGGCCAGCACATGCTTCAAGCTAGCAAAAACCCCCCAGGCTCGACCTTGCGCGATAGGTCGGCGAGCATGCGTTCCTTGGTTGCCAGAGATCCAGACCCCCAGAACACGCACGGGCTCCTCTGAAGCAACAGGAGCCACGCTGCAGCCCTGTATCTGTACTGGCCCTGTGCGAGACCACCCGTTTATGATGAAAGTGCACTTCTTCGCAGCGAGAGCTGCTCCGCAGCTGCACGCACCGCATCTTGTATGCCAGCACGCGTGCCGGACAAGAGGTATATGTCGTCAACCCACGCGGCTGTTCGAGGACTAGTAGGGTCGCCGACAAAGAAAATGGTCATGTCCAGGCCAACGTACAAGTCATCCCGCACATCTTGCAAAATCATGTCAATGACTGCGCTGAACATTACTGAGCTCTCTGGTGCTCCTTGGCGCACGCCACGTGTGGGGAAGGTCAGGGTAGCGGCAGTGTTGCCATAGATGCTGGTGGTCAGTCGTTGCCCCATCAGAGACTGCAGCACAGCCATCTCCACCTCCGCTGAGACAGGCCGTCGCCTAAAAAGCTCGAGAATCGCTGTCCACTCCAACGAGTCAAAAGCAGCCTCAACATCCAACCCCAGGACGTACGCCGGGTGCGACCACTCGCGTGCCCTACAGAGGAAGCAATCGACCAGGCTAACGACCTCCGAGACCTGGCCACCTCGCCTGCCAGCCGCTTGCCCTCCACAGAAGAGGCTCCCAAGCTGGTCCTGAAGTCGTCTAGTGACGATGCGCATGAAGATCTTGTAGCTCACTGCCGTGATGGCAATTGGGCGGTACTCCTTTATGGACGATGGCAAGGCTTTCTTAGGTAGCATGAGCACATCAGCGAGCGTCCACACCTCCGGCCACGGGAGTCTGCCACTGAGAACGCGGGAAAACCAATCGCTTAGCCGCTCCACAGCCACATGTGTGAGTGACAGGAAGACCTCATTTGTCAGCCCGTCTGTTCCCATACTTTTGCCAGTGTGTGTCCCAGTGATGGCCGCAGAGATCTCAGCAGCAGCAACAGGCCGAAAGGTCTGCAAGGCCTGCAGGCCACGTAACTGAGCAAGGCGGTTCCTCATGGTGTCCAGCACTTGGCCCTCCGGCATGGCGGTGTGGAGGACACTCCGAAGTCTCTCAGCAGCTGCATCGGCCCAGCAAGGGAAGTGTACCCAATCACCATGTATGTCCTGAAGCGCGCGCGGCACCGCTCTGGCAACGGAAAAGGCCGAACGAGGCCGAAGTCCAGTTAGCTGCCGCAGTGCCTTCCAGGAGCCTCCAGCGGCCATGGAGACCAGATTTTCCCGCCATTTCCACTTCGCATCCCTCCTTAGTACCATGATCCGCTTTGAGAGAGCCCCTCGAAGTTCAGCATCCTGTACAACGTTGCGTGCCTCGCACAGCCGTCGAATATCTGCTGCATCACGATATCCAAGTCTCGGCGACGGGGCCGCGTGCCGAAGAAAGCAGCGTTGCAGGTCGTGGAACATCGCGTCTGGGGGCACCTCAGCTGTGGGACAGGCCTCCTGGACCTCACGATGAGCTTGAAGCACTGTTGCCGCAGCAAAGGAGAAGTCCTCGCGGCTGGGCTCCGGCACTGTGAAGGCTCGAGCACTCCTGAAAGATGCCCTGAAGGCCGGTGGCACAGCTGCATGCCGGCGGGTTGCCACACGCATTGGAAGCTCCAACCGCAAGGGCCGGCGGTCTGTGTGAATCATCTCATTACACTCAGCGAGCAACTCCGCCTGGGGCATGGCCTGGCAAGCAGCTGCAGTATTGGAGAAGAACCAATCAATGGCCGCTCCAATCTCTCTGTCGGTCCCCCGTCTGTTTCTGGTGGCCTGCAGCGGCATTTGCTGCAGATGTTGTCGCAAGGACAGCCCAGAGAGTTCCTGTGTGAGAGTTTCGCCACGAGAGTTCCTGGGCACTGTGAGCACGTCAGGGACGCCGTCCTGAGCGCCATGCCCCGAAGCCTGGAACTGTTGAGTGAAGTCCGCATTGAAGTCTCCACCGAGTAGCACGGGCTTAGCATCAGAAGCATGGGTCATGAGAGCGGCTGTCAAAGCAGCAAGGGCGGCATCAAAGTCCCGCCGTGGATTGTTCTCATGGGGAAGATGCACGTTGCACATCAAAATCTCCTTGTCATCTGAGCCGACTGTCAAAGACAGAAACATTCCATTCTGAAAAAAGCCTCGTGTGGAAAAAGCTCGAAAGCGGCACTTACTGGCGTAGATCTGCAAGCCACGAAAAGTATGCGACTGTTCAGGGTGGCACGTGAAGATCCACCAGTCCGAATAGCTCTCGCCCATTTCCGGGCATTGAGAGCAACTCACTTCCTGGAAAAGCAAAAGGCGGGGAGGCTCCTCCGAAAATGAAGAAACGAATTCCTGAACCGTGTCAGCGGTGGCCCCTGCCACATTCCATGTGAAAAGCAACAGGGAAACCCTTGCCACTTCATCAGGCCCAGTCGATGCAGTCTGGTTGTTGCCTGGCCAGCGACGCACTCACTGCCCGGTGGCGGGCCGCTTCTGTGCCTTGATCCATGCCTGCTTGACCTCAAATTCAGTCTTTCCAAGCTCATGGGACAGCAGGGAGACATTCGGAAGATCGGGATTGCTGGAAAATCCTGCAAAACGGTGTGACCCAAGCCATGCTATGCCCTGCCTGTAGTCACCCTCCAAATGCTCGGCATCTGCATCAAGAAGGCGCGCAGTTCTGAGTGCCCTTGCCGTGAAGGAGGCAATCTGTCTCTCAGTCTGGGATTTGTGCGGTCCAAACCAAAGGGGAGAGCCCGCGTGTTCGTAGCTTTCCTCTTTGAAAGACGTGAAGGCAGCCCACAGGTTGTCCCTTGCCGTGCCCCCAGCTGCCTCCTGAAACTGAACGTAGGCCACTGAGGCGCGCTTGCCGGGAGCATAGATCTTCTTGACAGTGGGCATAGCCCCCAAATGTGTCATGATCTCTGCGGCTTTAGCCTCAAGTTCACGACGCTGAGTGTCCCGCTTGAAGCCTCCCAAAACATCTAGAGCAGAGTTCAGGTTGGATGATGCCCTGTCGCCTCCGGGGAAAGAGCCGTTGGAGCGGTCTGTGCCGGTGCTCCGTCTGTCCTGAATGGCTGAAATGCTCTTAGCATGTGCGGCGGTCTGGGCCTCAAGAGCACCCAAACGTCCATCAAGGGTTCTCGTCTGGTCCTGCAGAGATGCCACTCCTCTGAGACTCTCATCAGCCTTAGCCTCAACTGCACTGAGTTGAATCCGTAAGGGATCAAGGATCTCTTCCCTCATCATCTCGCGATACTGCTCAAAAGATGGACTTTCAGCAGGACGTTTGAGCGCCATGCCGCACAGCCTACACCCTACACCGAACCTACCCCTGGCCTCAGAAGGCCCCGAGCCAAACCTGTAGCCATTTAAATCTAAGCCTGGGCATGAAAATTGCAAGGTAAAACACTTCTGCCTGTCTGAAGGCTCCAATACTATGAAATACAGAATTCCTGCCCATTCGCAAGCTCGAGAGACGATAAATTACAGCATTGTTACCATTTCACAAGATGCAGATACAGCAACTCTGCCTTCAAGTGCTCTTAAATGTGCTTTGGCTTTGGTCTGGTTTGTCACGGCACGTGTCTTGCTTGTCAAGCGAAAAGGACATGTTTCAAAAGATGGTTTGGTTGGATTGGCTCAAAAACACAGCTGGCTTCAGCTTGGCTTTGTTCGCAGCCAGAGCCCCCACCCACGTTGTGAAGCGAAAGGGATATGTTTGAAGGCATTTGGCGGTTTCTGCTTTGGGGTTTTGCGGGTTAGGGCTTCAAACTTGGTGGGCTTACTAGGCTTATCGGTGAATCCGAAATAGTGGAATATCTGTACATTGGTTTAGCTTGAAGCTTTCCTTGCTTCCCGCCATCCTTATACTTGGCGTTATTGATCCTTGTTGAGGTTCGGGCGGTACTAACATATATATATATATATATATACATATATATATATATATACATATATATATATACACATATATATACATATATATATATATACACATATATATATATACATATATGTACACACACTTTTTTTATATACCTACGCAAGTGGGGAAGGGGTGCTGGATTTTAAGGCCTGTGAAATGGCAGAAACTTTTGTAATGCAAGCAACCAGTCTGTGTTGTGAGGATAAGGTTCCGCGAAGTCGCCTGCACACTGCATTCAACGCAGTGCGTTCAACTTGTGCAATGGAGCTCTTCGACAGAGCCTACAGAAAGTCCAGCCGTTCCCCCTGCCTTCCAGCAAATGCGCGCACGTCCGATGATCCTGCTTGACTTGCCCGCCTCTTGCTTGCTTTCTTTTCCGTTTAGAACGTAGAAGGATTTGTTGGTGATGATCCGTAATGGACTTTTGATTGATCCCTCTTTGATGTTGATCGATCCCTGTTTCTATTTATGGATCCATATTAGTTCTTTAATGATTCCTGCTTCCCTGAATATCGACCTTACCCTTGCCGGCCAAAGCATGACCTCCAACAACCCTGCACCTGAAAATTGGGAGGATTTCACGCTCGTGCACGGCTGGCAAGCAGGGTCCGCTGTCACCCCAGAACAAACGGCTCATGAGCCCCTGTCCACCTGGCGTCTATTTCAGCCAGATTCATGTCCACACCGGCCGTAAGTTTCGAAATGTAGCTGGGGGACATTTTTCTGGAATTCATACTGCTGCTTGCTGTTTTCGTTGATTTTGCGGCATCACGGGTCAAAATGGCCAACAACCGTCAGTGCCAAGCATCCGCACAGCAAAGAACTCTCATCTGCTTAGGTGAAACACGTCGAGAGACACCTCATGACGCTTTTCCCGACATTCCCGACTCTCGCAGGCCTCGGGGAAGACGACGCGGTGCCCTCTACCGGTGCGGCGGTAGGGGAAGTTGTCATTGAAGATATCCAAGTTATCGGCCTCACACAGAGTGTCTCCACCCTTGGACTGAAATTGATCGGCTAAGCCCCACTGCAGTGACCTGTAAAGCAATTTAATTGTATGTCAGCTTCGTGCCGATCTTCGTAGACGAACTCAGAATCTGGGAGAGGTTTCGAGTGTAGGCATGGCAGCGCTGCAACTGCCGCCCCCCCGCATTGCCTCTATCCGAAGATCTGCCTCAAGTGTCCAACAAGCACGCATGCCTCGCTCGAGCAACATACATCCAGGCGTACAAAGGCAAGCAGGGCCTGCGGTCGTACGAAAGCCTCAAAGTGCATCACTGCCTCTGACCTGGACAAAAACTTAGCGAGTCTTGTGCAACAAGGCTTGTAGCAGCAGAGTCTGAGATAGTCCGAGACAGTCTTATCATACGCGTTGCGACATGTCAGCTGCCGGGTACATCGGTGGGCCTTCACCCTTTCTACGTCTGGCCGATGTCAAGAAAGAGTAGGCTGTATACGCTAACGTCTGATGAGATGACATGCAATTAGAATGAACACAGACCGACTGACCAGAAACGACCAGGCCGACCATGAATCGAGCTAGCCTGGCTGCATGTGTCTAAACCAGTGCGTGCGACACACCACGTGAACTGAATCATGCTCAGGCAGTCTCAGGGCAAGGTAGCGTGCTCTCGGCCATATCGCCTTCGAGAACATGCGTGCGAAAGATAATAGCCATCCCTGCTTGCAGCGTGCAAACACAGTGTTCGCGCTCTGCCTCGATACATCCAACAAAGAGCCACATAACCTGGCCACAGCGCCACGATGCACGCCAACGTGCAACACATTTTGCAAATCAGTACTTACCCGGCATGACCACCAAGAAGCTGTAAAACTCCTGCATACTCACAGATGGAAAGAGAAAGAAAGAAAAAAGGAAGGAATGAAGAAAGTTCGCCTGTCTGATTCAAGGCGCACGTCTGTCTTGCTAAGCACTGGTGTTCCTTGATGTGTCCTCCGAAAGCGGGAAAACTGGGAAAATTGGGTAAAGTCTGGTACTACTGACCCATTTGACCCATCTAGACCCATCCAAAGCCATTCAGACCCATTCAGACCCATTCGCTCATTTTACTCCGCCGGACGTGCCACAGCATACATTGTGTCATACATTGTGTCTCCTAAGCTCCTGCAGACATTGTTATGCAATGGATCTCTTTCTTAGGAAACGCATGGACTGGTGCCGCCACAAGAGAAGACATGACGTTTTGCGGGCAGAGTGTGATCCGTAAGCCTTGAGATCCTTGCATCATTCTCAAAGCCGTAGGAGCATGCAACGATTTCTCTCAACTTTGGCAGCCCTTCTGGGTGCAAAGTCTACGTGTGGGAACCTGAAAAGCACGTCAACGTTGACGCTACAACACCTGCAGCAACTTGCTGATTGTCAGCCGCGCTACAGAGGGCAGCCCGGTGAGCTGCGAATGCCCAATCCATGCTTAAGAAACTGCCGTCTCAAAATCCAAACTTGTCAGCCAGGGGGGACAGAACCATTCTGTAGAAAGGCACCGTCCTTCCTGGAGTGGACGTGATGTGCCACCGCATCCATGTGGCAGAGAAACATGGGGGATGAAGAGCAAATCGTGAGACCGCCTATCCAGAAACCCCTAGAGGGGTCCTTCTTCTGGCGCTGAGGAATGTCACAACATGTCACAACTGTACAGAATCCGTCTTCCAGGGCTCGAAGAAATCATTCTCGGCACATGGTCATGAACTCTTTGAAATCGATCTCTGCGTCTCCATTGAGATCCAGATCCTTCAACGTCTGAACCTGCACCCAATGGCTGCTTGTGGATCCATGCACCAATCTCTTGACATACCCTTGCCAAAATTTACCAAGGCGAAGACCAGTTCGGCGGCTTGAAGATGGCCAAGAAGCCTGCCTGAGAAATTCGGCAAACTTGGCAAACTAGTCATGGGGCTAGTTCATGGGGTGAGCCCCGGGCCTTCAGCCAGCTCACCTCACCAGATCCAAACAACAAACACCCAGTCACGCAGTATCTAGCAACAAGGATCCCGCATGATCCGCACAAGCTGCTCAAGGAGATGAAACTGACAAAATGATGCAAAGGCGCTCAACTGAATGCAGCCGTCGCCGTTTTTGTCAAAACCTCAGCATGACACACTGTGCGTCGTTATGCATTTACTCCCGAGTCCTTTGAGCCCCTTTTTCACAATAAGAACCTGCGCGCAAAGTCATCACTTCACTGGTCCGCAAGATGCGAGCAGTATGCAGCTGCTGACTTTCGCCTATGTGTGGAAGGCGTGACACCGGTGAAGACAACTGAAACATGGCCCGCAAAGCCTGCAACAACATCAACAACGTCTACAGTTTTGCGACGACTGAACTCTTCTGACGAGCCAGCACCATCTGATGCGGCTGCTGGGCTTGCCCAATGCTCATTTTGTCACGAAACGTTCAGCATAACATGTCATAACGGCCCAGCAGCTGTTGAAGATGACCTTGCCCACTTTCTCTGTCATGCACCTCTTGCGGTTGAAGGTAGCTGCAATGAACTCGGTGAATGTAAAGTCCTGCCAGGACAAACTCCTAAACAAGCCAAACAAACACACACCGCTAAACTGTATGAGGTGCCGCCCAAGCCAGAGTCCTAGTCCAAGGCATGGGTTTTCGGGATTTTCACATCCGCTTGCTGCAAAACAAAGAGACGTAAATTACTGAAGGCTAACATGGCGCTCTGTCATATCGGAAACACCGCAGGTCCTTGCCAAAGTGGCAAATGCCAAATGGTATCTATGTATCTGCTGTCCTGCCCTCGTGTGCTGCTTCGGTTCGTCCACATCGGAATCAAATAAAAGGTACACACAGAGTCACCGGACCAAGTCACATCTGTTCCTGGTGCGCGTGCCTTGTTGTGCACATTCCTTGCCACTTATCTCTTGGCTCATCACTGTTCGAAAGTTTTGAGTGAGCACGCATGCACAGCGAGATGCAGCACACTTCCCACCCACTGCGGACAGAGTGTTTCCCGAGTGTGACCGTGGATGGTGTGTTCGCGGCGTGTCCTTATACTGAGGCCTGCGACTCGCTATGTGCAAACGATCCTTTGCTGCAATCCATGGCTGGATTGATGTATGCTGGCCGTCTGAAGTGAAACCACGACTTACCGGTGTTCATCTCTGATTCTCTTGTGCCACGGCTGCCTACGCCAGTCCTGGATGGCTTCTTCGTGGCCATCTGCCTTGAAGATCTTAATGGCATCTTTCTTTTTGATGGACTGGCAAGCTGCTCAGGTGGCAAACGATGGCCCTCCCCGGCAACATCTGCAGCACCAACAACCCACCTTCGCACCTTTTGTCGCACTTGACGTAGCCTGCGAATCCATTGGCATCATTAGCACCACTCAAACCATGTCACAACTGAAATTTGCAGCCTTGGAGAGCGCCACTAACTCCGACATGGACACGAAACCATTGCAATCTTCGTCTAACGCCTTAGTTTGGATCTCATTCTCCCGGTCAAAAGCAGCAGATGCAATGACTTGGGCCAAGCCACCAAAAAGAGTTGCCTGCTGGGTCCGACCTCTGCTTCACCCAGCATGCACGCTGTCCTTGGCATCATAACTGTAACATCAAGCAAGAACAACATGATTTTGTTGAAAGGAAATAGCAAAAAAAAGATACGACGGAGGCTTGGGCCTTTTAGCCGGCCCCTCGAACAACACAATACGGCATTCCGCGCCCATTGCACAAGCTCAGGTCGGAGTGGGCAGCATGTCGGTGTTACAAGCAGACAAAGGGCTTAGTGCACATGCAGCCAAGGCACATGTTCAAACAAGCTCGTTTGAACTTGTTCAGCGACCGATAGTTTTTTAAGCCTTCGATGTGCTTCTCTTCCTGGGCAATCTGCAGGTTGATATTGAACAACTGCCAAGTGAGCTGCACCATGCTTTCTTAACCTCATCTACCTTACCCAGAACAGAGCAGAGTCTGCACCACCTCTCGCATCATGTGCCTCACGCTTCCTGCATGTCATCGCGTGTTTCGACTGCAAGCCTGTGGCTGACGAGGCAAGAAAGGATAAACGAGGCAAAAAGGAAATAGCTTGAGAGACCCAAGTCAGCATGCCAAAAACGACACACTAGTCGTACATCGCCTGATACGTTTGAAAATGTCGAAAACGCGCGGCCTCGTGCAACATGCGAGAATGCACATGCATTCGCTGCGCCTGTCGCACAAGCAACAAACGTTGCATGATGTGCCAGTCCAAGTATATGCAAACACCTCTGGCTCGTGTACGCTGTTCTGAGCCCACGCATACTCCCAAGTGTGCCAGCGAACACGGCAGACCTCGTGCGACCAGTGTCGGCCGTCACAGTTCCTAGCGTCGTGCACGACCAAAGGACTTGGGAAAAGATCCTGCAAGCGAAGTAAGTAATCCCGGTTTTTAGAACCTCAAAAAGCACACGGCCCACTTAGACAACTGTCCCACATCCAGCTGTCCACTGCCGTAGCGGACCCCTCATGTGCTGACATTGCGCAAGCAAGAGCCATGCAACAAGAATAAAGGAATATAAATTGAATAGTCCATATAATGCTTAACATATCCCCAAAAGTCGGTGTCGTCAGGCGGGTTTTTTCTCAGGTCTTGTGGCCGGAAATCTGGGTTCTCTCTGCGGTCTTGTGGCCGGAAATCTGGGTTCTGTCTGCGGTCTTGTGGCCGGAAATCTGGGTTCTGTCTGCGGTCTTGTGGCCGGAAATCTGGGTTCTGTCTAAGTAGAATCTTGGATCTACTCATCTGAAATCTGGGATTTGTCTGCGGTTTATTACATTAAAAACTTGGTTCAGATCGCTGAAAACCGGGATCCGCCCTGCAAGTTTCGGGGCTTGACCTTGTCATGAATCCTGAGAAATCTTGGACTTGCTCCTAGAAATATTGGGCTTACTCAAGCCTCGTGAAGATTGTTATCGAAACTGTTTCCTGTTTTGTTCTCGATGGAGGCCAGTCTGGCGGACAAAACTGCTTGACTTAATGATGCTACTCGCATCTGACTCCCCCTGCAGCCCCCTCCAGCCTCCTCCAGCCCCTCCGCCCCTCCAGCCCCTCCGCCCCTCCAGCCCCTCCAGCCCCCTCCCCCTCCAGCCCACCTGGCTGGGGCTGGGGCTGGGGCTGGGGCTGGGGCTGGGGCTGGGGCTGGGGCTGGGGGCTGGGGCTGGGGCTGGGGCTGGGGCTGGGGCTGGGGCTGGGGTTGGGGCTGGGGCTGGGGCTGGGGCTGGGCCTGGGGCTGGGGCTGGGGCTGGGTGGGGCTGGGGCTGGGGATGGGGCTGGGGCTGGGGATGGGGGGGCTTGGGGCTGGGGCTGGGGCTTGGGGCTGGGGCTGGGGCTGTGGGGCTGGGGCTGGGGCTGGGGCTGGGGCTGGGGCTGGGGCTGGGGCTGGGGGGGCTTGGGGCTGGGGCTGTGGGGCTGGGGCTAGGAAGGAACCGTGCGATGGTGGGGGTGCGTTTGGGGGGCGGGGGGTGGGCAAGGGGCCCATGTTTTCGTGTCAGAAACTAGTCGAGTTTTTTTTTTTTGTGGTGTTTGCTTGCCACTTACAACTTACAACCTAGGCATGGGCGCGCGCGCGCCAGGATCTTTCACGAAGAGACACCGCCTGTGTATGTTTCGGAAAAGTTGAGGAGGGTGTTTTCAATCCTACGGCGCATGGATCTTGCTTCAGGGGCACTGCGTTCTTCCATGATTTTTTTCAACTCCGATGAAAACTTCTACCCGTGACCGACGCTTCATGGACGTGTCCAGAAGTTTTTGTCGCTCTAGAAGGAGCTAGGCTACACCTGGTTGCACAATAGCGCGGCCCACAATTTCTTGTATATGACACTGACTTCCTCAGCGCCAGCCGAGGCCATGTTTCTTACGACCAATCCCGACTTACGATGCCTCAAAACCAGACATGACCCTCCCCAGGCCCCAACCCAGATGTGTTTTTCTACTAGGTTTGCTTCGCAAAACGCAAGCCGAGACCATATTTTTAAAGACCAATCCCGACTTCGGACGCCTCAAGACCAAACATGACCCTCCCCAGGCCCCAACCCAGATGTATTTTTTCTACTAGGTTTGCTTCGCAAAACGCAAGCCGAGACCATATTTTTAAAGACCAATCCCGACTTCGGACGCCTCAAGACCAAACATGACCCTTCCCAGACCCCAACCCATATATGATTTTCCATGAAAACCCAAAAGATATGTTAAGCATTATATGGATTATTCAACCTATGAAAGTCTCAATGGCGCAGCGGGTCACTCATCTCACGGAAGAAGCTGGGGATGTCCATCTTGTCCAGCCTTGCATTCACCACGTGCAAGCCCTTACCGAACTCGTAAGCTGCTAGGGCCTCAGTGAACTGAGACTCCGTGAGCACGTCGATGCCGTTTGAACCTGGCCTGCCACCCAGTGCCTCAGGCAGCAAGTGATAGTTCCACACTTGAATGTCGTTGTAGGAGTCGTCCCGCTCCGGATGGATGGCACGCTCGGCCGTATACCCTGCATTGTTCAGGATTATGAGGAGGAAGTTGAGATTGTGTCGCAGAACTGTGCCGAGCTCCATACCAGTCATTTGAAAGGATCCATCGCCCTCAAGGCAGACGATGCGACGCTCAGGTGCAGCAAAAGCCATGCCAACGGAAATTGGAAACACGCTCCCCAAGGACGCCCAGTTGGTGGGACCGGCCGTGGTGTTGCCCTTCTTCATGCGCATTCTGGACAAGTTGATGTAGCCGCCAGTGTTGCCTGTAACAATGTCGCCTTCCTGCACAAAGTGAGCGAGCTCAGGGTACATGAAGTCCACAGTGAGCGGCCGGTCCTCTGGACCTGCCCTGTGCTTCGTGTAAGTGAAAGGAAACGTGTCCTCCACCAGCTCTTCAGCACGTGGGGTGATCTTTTGTGCCAGGAGCGGCAACAGCTGCCGAAGGTAAACGCCATGCACCACTTCCCCCTGCAAGTTGACGGCATCATAGCCGAGCTCGATCATGCGGTCCTGATCTACCGCCCACGGACCCTGAGCAGCATAGCACCGAACCATCCCTAAGCCGAAAACTCATCACCCTCTTATAAACCCTCCCAATTTATCCTCCTTGAAGTCGTGCGTAAGAAAGCCCAGATTGAACTCTGTCCGCGGCATCCCGAGAGTCAAGAGGATGTCGGCACCTTCGGTGGCATCGCGCACCGCCTGCGCACAAATGCCTCCCTGATAGAAGCCAAGGCAGTTTGGGAGGTACTCTAGGTAGCCGGCCTTTTGGTCAAACGTAGTGGCGAATGGGAGCTTGGTGGCGCTCAACATGTCCTCCACAACCTGTTGCAGGCCCTCCCTGTCGATGAACACGCCAACCAACACACCCACCTTCCCCGCACTATTCACGACACGTGCAACTTGCTCCACGACTCTGTGAAGAGCTTGCTCGTCACTGCACGGCGGCTGGTAGTTCAAGCGATCTGGTACTTGGATTTGTGCCTTCTGCATGTCGAAGGGGATCTCAAGGTAGACTGGCCTCTTCTGGTCGAGGGCAACCCGCAGCAGCCAGTCAACTGTTGGAATGGCCTCCTCTACTGCGTCAATGCGAGCTGCAGCAGCAGTGATGGGTGTGAATACGCGGATGGTAGCATCCAAGTCACTGCCGACAGCATGATGCAGAAGCAGCTTGTTGCCTTGGCGATATCTCGCTGTTTGAGGTGCCCCCGAAATCAGAAGCAGCGGGACATGAGCATCGTATGCCCCTGCCACGGCATTGACAGCGTTGAAGGCACCGGGTCCATAGGTCACGGCGGCAACCCCAAACCCTTTCACACGGCTGTACCCGTCTGCGAGGTAAGCAGCATTGAGCTCGTTGCAGGTGCCGATATGTTTGACCGGGCTTCCCTCTTTGATCAGCTCATCAAAAAAAGGCAGCACATAGTCTCCCGGGATTCCGAAGACATGCTGTACCCCCAGCTCCTGGATGCGAGAGATGAGGAATGCCGACACCGAAGTTTGCTGTGACATCGTTGCGAGCTTGACGCAGGCAAAAATAGGGAGGGCGAGGGCTCGCTTGAGCCTGACTCTCTCGACCGTACATGGAGGAGCAATTGAGAAAGCAATGACATTGCACTACAGGTGCTTCGACGCAAAGGCAACCACAGGCAGTGGCAAATGCCTTTGTCAGCTGCCATGGTCAAAGGTGTCAAGCCAATGTCCTGCAAGTGCCATCGTTTCTTGGGGACTTTTAGGGTGTCTCGGTGTCATGATGACGTGAGCGCGCTGCAAAACCAGAGGCCAGGACTGAGACACTTCATTGAGGGTATCGTTCTTGGGGTTAGGAATCGTTTTCTCGATCAAAACGATGATCTCTGGGGGCATCGCTGTTGGGGTTAGGCATCGCTTCCACGGCAAATTTGCTCACATGGCAATCTTACCAGGAAGACCGAGAACGGCAAACAAAATGCTCTGCTCAGTTGGTGTGGCCAGATGTCCGTCGCAGCATTCACGTCGGCAGCCCGGTGGATGAGTAGCTCAAGCATGTCGATACGTCCTGAAGCTGTGTAAAAGCCGACACAGGACTTCTTTGTCAACAATTCGGTTTTCACGGATGCTTTAACTCTCCATGCCCACTCTCCTGAAGCCGCAGCTAGCATCAGCGCGGAAAGGCCGTATCCGGTTGCCCCATTGGCAGTAGCACCTGGGTGGCGAATAGTCTGTGAGATTCATTGCCCGCTGGAACTGGAATGCAGCGGCCAGGCGACCTTCATCAAGCAGCAAGCGCACGGCATCCAGGCGCTGCGCAGCTTTGGAGCTGTCCTCTTCCGATAGGGCACACGGTTTGCCATGAGGGCCGTCAAAACGGCAAACCACCCATGCACCTGCAGGCCAGCGCCGACTGCATACATCACCTTAGTAGGAAGCATCCACGCGTTGCCTCTGCAGCATCCGCAGAAGCAACCCTAAACCCTAAACCCTAAACCCTAAACCCTAAACCCTAAACCCTAAACCCTAAACCCTATAAACCACATGGTGCGACCGATGAGGCTGAGCCGACACAGGACCAAGGCACCGACGCAAGTATGCCCCGCGCAGTTGCAGCTCATGACATCCGCCGCATGGGCCAGCAGAAGTCTGAGAACCTGCGGAAGCTGTGCATAAAATAGCTTAGGGTTTATAGGCTTCAGGGTTTCATGGTTTCTAGGGGTTATAGGCTTCAGGGTTTATGGTTTCTAGGGGGACTGTAGCTATAGGGTTTTTCTTGAACCTACAACAAGCACTGACGCGACTTCTGGCACCTGAACGCTGGCCGCCGAGGCTGCAAAGAGGATGGCGGAGCGCCCAGTGGAGTCCTGCGCCTGGACGTCGGCGGCGTCGGCCAGCAAGCTTCTTGCCAAGGCCAGGTCGCCACCTCAAGAAGGGAGGAGGGGCCCCAGAGAAACACCCGAGGATTCTTAAAATTAGGGCTGCGTTGGGGACACTTCGGCATATGTAGGAACTGTAATATATGTATATATATATATATATGCATATATACACACCATATATAGTTGTCTATTGGTGTGTATATATATATATATATATATCTGCAGATATATATATATATATATACTTATGTATATATGTGACTTCACCTTGGCCCCGCTGAGGTCCCAGCGTTCGCAGGCTGTCATGAGTGCTGTGCGACTGGCGGGAGCAATGCCCTCAGCAAGAACACTCGTAGGGACGTCAGGGGTGATTGGTAAAGCGGTCTTTGGCCGCATGATGCTTCGAAGCACATGCAAGTGGCAAGCTTGGGCGCCTGCAGCTAGAGAGCATGTCCTGAACTCCGTCAGTTGATTCAGTGCAGGGACGACAAGTCAGGGAAAGCGAAGCATCTTCGTCTGTCCGTGTTCTGCTATCGACAATGGTCTCGTAAGCAGCCTGGATCTCCTGGGGTTTCTTCTGGACATCTGAGAGTCTTCCCACGCTTGCGTCATTCTGAGCCTGAAAGCGGACGGTTGCCGATCGTCTTTGCGTCTCATCCTGAACCTGGCAACATCCAGCACACGGTGAACATGGGCAGGAGCCTGACTCAAGTTTCTTTGGGGGCAAACCCCACGTAATTAATACTAATCCCATTCACCGAGCCAGCGGCCTTGTCGGGATGATTCCTGTGTGCAACAGCTCGCGAACGTGCGCGCAACGCGCACACACACAGACAGAGACGCATTTATGTTTTCACAAGGGATTGCCTGCCCTCGTAGAGTGTCTTGCGATCACTGCAGTCGAGTGTCTTGAGGGCCAACGCCCTGTAGGCTTGCTTGACCTCCTCGTCGCTGCAGGAGCACTGTACTCCCAAGGTTGCCTCAGCCGGCAAAGCGGCTCAGAATCAAAAGGGGGTTTCCGAAAATTTCTGGCTACCCTTTTTGGGGGAGTCCCTTCATACTTCGCGTATGATCGGGTATGAAAGAGGTACCCGTTCTTTGGAAATGCCCTGAACAAAATCGGTAATCGCGATGGTACGCGTAACTTACCAGGCAGGCGTTGCCCGAAGTTAGGGCGTTGCTAACGAGGGCCACATTGCAAGGGGCTTGTGACCTTGGCCAAGACACGTAGGCATCCGCCAGCGGCATAAAGACACTGGCCGCCACCAAGGCGACTCAACTGCCGGATCCATGCCGCGTTCTCTCGCTGTCAGTCCCAACTACGGTCTCGTTGCTCTACCGGCTGAGTGTTTGCGGAGCTTAGAGACAGCTCTTGGCCATCGGCCATTCCACACATGCCACAGTCACAAGCAGCTGGAGTCGGAACAGGGCGGCAGATCCGACCGTTACTCAGAAAGAGACTGCAGCCCTCACATGCCTTGCCACTGCCGTGAGAGCAGGAGAAAGCGAAAGAACTGATGCGTCATTTTGTCAGGAAGGCGATGCTTTCCGCACTGGCCAGGTATGTCTAACATGAGTGGACAGGCGCAAAGGGCACCTGCAGCGGTTTTCGCGCCAGTCCCCCACGTCGGAGGATTGACTCACATCGTCGTGCCCGACTGAGGGGCCAATTGGCCCACTGCGTGCACTGTGCATGGTTTTCTGGGTTGCTGTTGTCGAGGAACTAAAACGAAGTAGTTACCTTGATCAGGTATGATGGTGACTTTATTCGGGCATTTCCCAAAATCAGGAACCCCTTCATACACATGACCCGAACCGCCCCAATATTGCACCCGCATTTGGGACACCCCCATTTGAGTGCTTCATAGCAACCCAGTTTTGCAGCTGCTGTCACCTTGTGCCACTGCCTTGGAGGACTGGTCACATGAAACGAAGTTCGTGAGTGAGCCTAAACTCTAAACCCCAAGCGCCAGGGCTCCAGACACTCATGGCTTTTGGCTTTGGACCTGACCGACACGCGTTTGTGGAAGGTTTCCGAAAACTTAGTGGCTTGGTTTAGGGGTCCTTATTCCGCGGAGACTCTGCCATATTTGGGAGGTACGAAGGCGCACCCGAGTTAGAGGATACTCCCGTGTGATCTGTTTGTCGAATGTCCTTCACACTCGACCCTAACAGCCCCAAAGCCGAACCTGCCCTATATCCTAAAATATCCGAGGCCCGAAACTACCCGAATCAAGAAAACCTTAAACTACCCTAAGCACCCGACAAGACTCTAAATTCTAAACTGCCGAAGCACCCCAAACCTCAAAAAATCTAAACAACCTCAGCAACTTCGCAACTTGCCACCTAAACCCTAAGCCCCAAACATCCCCAAATCCGAAACCCGAAGCCCAAGGGCGCAAGCCGACCCAGGTCGCTCGCTCACCAACAGCTCGTAGGTCGGCAGAACCCACGATGGGCCCGTTCCATCCCCAACTTCTCGGTTCCTCAAAACCCCAAAACCCTAAACACCTAAACATACGGTTTAGGGTTTAGGGTTTAGGGTTTAGGGTTTAGGGTTTAGGGTTTAGGGTTTAGGGTTTAGGGTTTAGGGTTTAGGGTTTAGGGCACCTTAACCTCATTGCTGGGAGCACCTTATGGTCCGGCGGCGGATCGAGCAGGCTCGGAGGTTGCCTGGCAGCTGAGTCAATGCTCTATTAGTATTATTATTACTATTATTATTACGATTATTATTATTACTATTCTTATTATTATTATTCGAATTATTATTATTAGTATTATTATTATTACTATTAGTATTATTATTACTATTATTAGTATTACTATTATTATTATTAGGAAGCGTTAGGAACCCTGCCAAGCGCATAAACCCCTTCAGCCCTAGAAACCCCGCAAACCCAGTTAAGCCCTATGACCCCTCAGACCCTATAACCCCCAGAACCCTTACCCCTATAACCCTCAACTTAAGGGTTATAGGGGCTTTGGGGTTTACAGGGTTGATCATCGAGTTTCTAGGGGGGCTACCCGGTTTATAGGGCTTCTGGAGCCTGCAGAGCTTTGCAGGGTTTGAAAGACCTTAAGGTTGACAAGTTGACAACGTGATCGGATTTGGGGTTTAGGGGGCGAACTCTGCCGTCGCTTAGGGTCTAGGGTTTAGGGTTTAGGGTTTAGGGTCTAGGGTCTAGGGTCTAGGGTCTAGGGTCTAGGGTTTAGGGTTTAGGGTTTAGGGTTTAGGGTTTAGGGCAAGAACTGGCACGGCGAGTCCTGACTACATCGGCCAGCACGATGCAGAAGGACACCTGGCACTCAGCAGGGCCCTTGCCGTTTAGGGTTTGTGGGTTTCGGCCCCATGAAGATCGACAGACCCCGAGTGGGGCCGAAATCTTAAGGGATAGGATTAGGGGATATAGACCCTCTGAATAAGGTCCCTTGTTAAGAGAGCCAGAAGAGGGTTAAGAAGGGGTTCCCTTTTAAGGGTCCCCCTTATCCCACCTAGGAAATCTCCCCCCAACGCAATGTGAGCTGGCAGCACCATCACCAGGGCGATGAGCAAGTTTAGAGACATCAGAAGCCAGCCACGCCTGTAGCTCAACCACGCTTCTCACGGTTTATGCAGAGGAGGTTGAATTCTACATCAGCGCCCGTTTAGTGGGGAGGTTT